TCTGAGCTGCTCCTGCCATGGCAGCGACTGCATGGCACGTATCTTACTTCTGGGGTGCGTTCATCACCTGCAGGCAACATGGTTCCCCACAATTTTGCCTCCTGTCCACATGACCATGGGCTGAGGACTCTGCCCAAATTCCCAGTGGGGCCAAGTTTGCCAGATGAGGCTGAGATAGAAACAGAGACTGTGGGGTCTTCTTTACTTTGTTAAGACTCAGAGTTTTCTTTAAACTCTGGCCTATAACATAATCAAGGAAAGCATTTTCCCTTTTGGGGGGAGGGCAAAAGAATTATCTCTGCTAGCTCAAGTGTGTTACTCAAACCTGCACTGATGGTTTTATTTTATTGCATTTTCATTTTAAACATGACTTACCTGTAAACCTCTCTCTACTTTGGAATAAAACATAATTTAAGTTTCTACTGCTAAAATGTTAAGTCTTACATGGGACTTCTTTGAGGTTAATAAATGAATAACATTTTTTTTTTTACAACATAGCAAGTATTTCAAACGAGTCCTTTTCACTGAAGTTTAAATTTCTGCATTTACTTTTCTGCTGTGCATTCTTATTCCTAATATGAAATGGGAATTTAAAAAGAGGGTATCTTGAGTATTGCAGCATGGAAAATATGCTGGTTGGAACTTTATATGGAAAATGCTCAAGTGAGGGATCCTGTAGCCTGTGTCTTTAACATTAGTAACTGCTTTTCAAGGAGCAAATTCCTGTAGTCACACATCTAAGAATGACTCCCGTGGGAGCCTGCGTCCAGGGCAATAAGCAACAGAATCCTTAAGTGTTCTTTGCGCTTCCAGGTTGAAAACATACTAATTAGCCTTCTGTGTAACCCATGTGGGATGGTAGATATTAAATAAAACTGCTTAGAAATGTGCCGTGGAAGGGTGGTCCCCTCTTTGTACCAACCTGAATTTAGAGACTATACTAGTTACAGACCTGAGGAGGGGTGGAGAGAGGAGGGGCAGCCAATTGAGCCTTCAGTCCAATTGACTTAAAAAGGAGCATGCAGTCCGTTTCCATGGTGATACCATGGCATTGGTTGTAGGTCACACTGCTAACAGAAACCAAGGGCCATTCTGGGTGGGAGGTGGAATTGTGTGCAGACCCAACCAGCTCCTTCCTCCCTCCCTTCTTCCCTCCCTCCCTCCTTTATCCTCCCTTCCCTTCCCCCCTCTCGCCCACCTTCCCTGTTCCTTCCTCTCCTCTTCTTGCCTGCCTGCCTGCCTGCCTGCCTTCCTTCCCTCCTCCTACTTCTTCCTTTCTTCCTCCCTTCCTGCCTGCCTGCTTTCCTCTCTACTTCCTCCCCCCTCTTTCCTCCTCATTCCCTCAGTCCCTCTTCCTATCTACTTGTCCATCAGTCACCTCTGATATGCCTATCATCTGTCTTCATTTTGTATTAGCACAGAAACCCTCATTGTTTACTTCAGAATAGGGGCAGAGCTAAGCGTTCCCACTAGAAAGTTTGCTTTTATGAATTTTCAGGAAGAGTTTGTGAGAGTGCATCTGCAGGACCTCTGTCTACCAGATGCTTGAGTAGTTCCAGAGTTAGAAGTAAGTGAATTTCCAACATGGAAAAGATGTACAAGGGCATCTTCAGCCCTGATGCCTTGGACACCTGGATGAACCTGGTCCCTTTGTTACCGAGCAGCTCTGGTGAGTGACATAGCAGCCAAGTGGGTCTTGCCCTCTTAAAGGTTGGAATAGTGTTCATTTTCCCCACATGGCCACTAGACAGTAAATAACTGCTGTGTTCTCCTTCATTACAAATGCAGCTTCTGCACAGTCATTTGAAGCCACTGTGTGACATTTGAGTTGTTGGCTTATGTGACTGAATTCATCAACACACAGTCCTGATTTGTGAAACAGCAGGGTCAGGACTCCGTTCTGTAGGACGTGACCGTGAAGCTGTCACTACCTGGTTTTGAGGATAAGCCACAAGTATGTGTTACAGAAACGAACCATCAGCCCTCCAAGGCCTGGCAAGGAAAGCACCAGTGTGATTGTGTGGAGGGAGCGCAGGGTGAGGCTGGTGGAGTGAGAAGCAGGCAGTGAGGTTGTCCCCAATGGAAGGCGCTCTAGACAGGGCTGAGGGCTGAACGGTGTCCAGGTGTTGCAAGTACTGAGCTGCAGGGTTGGGTTGGGGAAATTTTTGTACTTGGACAGTTTGTGTTTTGTTTTTATTGCGGGGGCCCAGGACAAGAAACAAGATTTGTGCCTCAGTTTACTTGTATGATCGGCTGTTCCAAGGACTAAGAGAGGTTATTTCAGACACATGGGCAAGGTCAGCACACTTTTCTGTAAAGGGCCAGGACGTCAAGGCTTCTGGCATTGTGTTCCACTGTCTGTGTCAGACTTAACGGATAGCATGGCCAGGTGCTGGTGAAACTATTTGAAAAAGCAGGTTTGAGCTGAATTTGTAGCTGTGGATACCTGATGTAAAGGTGGTGCATGGGATGTGGGGATTGTCTGTAGGCTTTGAGTGATAGTGACCAGCGATTTTTTAGAAACCATGTCTGGAAATTCCCCTCATGCTGATTTCTTAGCACAATTTGTCAAGGGAGCTAAAGAAAACACCTGCTTGGAGGTGTGCCCTTCTCCCGTCAAGCCCTTGGAACTTGTGCAGGGAGGCATCCGAGCAGCAGACCCTAACAGCTGCACATCCTCTTCAAAGAGGAGCTGTCTCATGGGGGGGCAAATGCTTGTTTGCGTTTAGGCCCTAAGGTCTGAACATGTGGCACTTCCCAACATCCGACAGTGAAGAGGTCCCTTTGAAGGTGCTTCTGCCGATACTGAAGGGAGGAATCCTGCCCCATTCTTAAATGTCCAGCTGAGAAATTTAAAAAATTTGAATTTGGGGTATCGAACAGACTGACTGGGGTCGTTTCTCTAGGGCTGGCACTCAATTGTGCAATTGTGCAAAGCAGTTGTGAGACTTGACAGGGATACGAGATTAGTTGCCTGAGAAGGCAGGGCGGCTGGAGGTAAATGCCAGTTACAGTGGTGTCCGCAGTACTCAGGTGGCCACAGATGAGGCCCACATTGATTGTGGCCCCATAAGTACACCTTCATTTGTGTACCCCTTTTTATTGTGCCCTTGATTTCATCTGAATCTGCCTCAGTTGCAGGAAGCCGACCAGTTTATCATAGAGTGTGTTCTGAAGCAGTGTCATGCTCAGAGTTCAGGATCCCCTGACTGGCAATGTTTTAGATAGGAGCCCATGAAGCTAAAGGTTAGCTCAGTGTACCTTCTCGAGGCTAAGAAAATAAGTACGTTATCATCGAAATGTCTCAACAGGTTCTATATTACAATGAAAACAGGCCTCCCAATAGTTTTATCATTTTCAGTTATGGTCAGGGAAGGAACTGGTGGAGAAGGGCAGTGAATCTCTCTGGGAGGCTGGTGGTGGCTCAGAGAAGGCTTGGGAGGGCTTTCTGTCTTGCCACCTAAGAGCAGAAAATACCCTCTGAGCAAGAGTGGCTATCTTGGCTCATCTCCAGGACTGGTTCCTTGTTCTGTCCATCCTGTCAAGTGAGTTGAAATGAATACTTCTGTGCTCTGTTCACCATGGACCATTGCACTGGACTGCAGAGCTGCTCAGCTTCTGGTTTTCATTTCTTCTAGATTTGTTTTATTGTGTTTCCTCCAAGCAGCTGTTCTTTTCTTTCTCATAAAGTCACAAGCTGTAGAGTGGGCTAAGGAGAGAAACTGGGAGTGGGACGGTAGGCTGGCAGCAGCCATCCTGAGGCAGCCACACGCTCCTGTTAACCCTGATACGATACATCCCAGGGTGTTGGCTTGGGGGGGGGGTTGGTTGTTGAGATGTGGGCCTCTCTGTATGCTGATATGGAACAGCCTGAATGCTGAGCGGGAATGGGTGTGGCGTGCAGGGGGGGGGCGCGGGCGGGGCTTCTGGTCATGCAGTGTCATCAACTCGTCCAGCGTCAGAAATGCTCGTGAGCCAGCAGCAGGACACATTTTCCGTAATTGTGTTGTCTACAGCTCTGGTTTAAAATGAGCCATGCATTTTATGAGAATAGGTAAGACACCACAATGAGTCTTGAGTTTGTAGGATCAGCCATCGGATACTGAGGGTCTCGTAGGGTTTGGTCAGAGTTAGTGAGGTCGCGTCCCTAAGAACGGCACATTTACCAGTCTGTGTGTGACTCATAACTGTTCATTTGTTTGCTATATTCCTATTAACACTTGAGTTTTTGCCTATTCTGGGAATAGTGATTTGATCACAGTATTGGGGAAAAGTTAACAAGATTCCAAAATTTTACCAAGTAGGTACTTTGTGCACTAAGGCTTATAAATAGAAGAGGCGAGGTCATAAAGGTTATTTTCTTCCCTGTAGGAAAAATGTCATTGCAGTGGTGATAAACTTTGCTCTTGTATGTGAACATCGGTTTTAACATTTTAATTCCTATTTAAGTAATAATCACCATTCTCACATATTTTGGGGCTCCATGGGTCCCATATTTTATTCAATGTTTCATTTGGTGTAAGTCACTTATTTTCAGAGAGACCGTAGCAGTTTAATGGCTTTACAGCCTACACACCTGATGAGAAAACACCTCATCAGTGGAGGTGTTGTTAATCAGGGAGAGCTCTGGCCGCTGTCCCTTGGTTTATGCCTGCACAATCCGTTGTTGATTAAGTTAATGAGACTGTAGATTGGAGGGTTCCTGCACCAACAGATGTGAGTAAGATTCCAAGAAACTAATTCTGGACTCCATCCGAGCCAAAACCACCAAGGAAGGGCCGGGACAAGCATGTGCTAAGGGAAGGATGTTTATGTAACTTAAATGATGCTGTTTGTTTGAGGGCAGAGGAAAGTCAAGGTGAATGACGCAAGTGCTTTCTTTTAAAATGTAATGAAGATGCCAACAGTTTTAACTGTGTGCCTTCTTGGACTCCACTGATTAACTCCACCCATTGTGAGACCATTCTGAATTTTTCTTTCCTTATTTTACAGGTGACATCACACAAAAAGGCTACGAAAAGAAGAGGTCAAAACTAATTGGAGCCTACCTGCCCCAGCCTCCGAGTATGTAAACCTTAATGGCTAGCACAAATTGTCTGGTTTTAAGTCAGCTGCAACATAGGAAAGAAATAACTCAGCAAATTCTGCCTTAATCCCTGATCTGTTATTGGTCAAATCTGATTCCTTTGCATGATTACAAGTATGTTTTGTGTATATTGAAGGAACATATTCTTTTTCTATTAATGAACCTATTAAATTTAATAGGTACTTCATCTATAGGGAGCAGTCATATGTGTGATTACTTTAAAATGCTATAATCATAAAAAGTATGAGCATATTAATGACTTCAACATGATTTCTAGTTTAGTGAGTTAAAAATTATTGCTATTGATTGTGGCTTAAATTAATGCAGTTGATGTTGGGGGTGGGGTTAAGTCTGAAAATTTAGAAAATGATGTAATATCCTACCTGGGATTATAAAATCATAAGGTTGGCTGTGTTTTGAATTGTGGTTATAAAATGTTATGGGCTCTTTTCCTATAATGCAAAGTCCATTCATACCAGCATTTTTATAGGCACAGCTTCACAGAATATCTGCACTCAAGGGGGTCCTGTACATGCCAGGAGAAAGAACTACCCCATGCTGCAGCTCTAACAGCTCATTTCCAATGAAGCTTAGTTCTGTGTGAGGATGACCTTGAAATTGGCTAGACTATAGGAATGGCCTAGAGCTAATATATGTAATGCCTCTTCAAAGGAAAATGATAGCAACATAAATATCAAAGGTACTACCTGGAACTGTACAATTTTCTTTATTGAGACACGTTTTTAAAGACCTGCTCAGAGGCTTCTGTTAGGAAAGATCTGATTAGCACGTGCCTCAGGCATGGCTCAGTTTTGCTCCTGGTTAATGCACCCGTAGTGTTGGCATCAGGAATATCTCCAAGAGCTCACATTCCAGGAAGCTTAATTTGTGTGTGAGTTTCTGCTGTGTTTGTAATTGTGTTGTATTCTGTTTTTTTTTTTCTTTGCTCCATATTTCAGAAAGTTTAAAAAAAAAAAAAGTGGACCTGTTGTATAGACCTGATACTGCTGTGGGCTGGATTTTCTTATTATCTAGTGTAGGAAACATTGTTCCATCCTAGTGAATTAAAAGTCAGTCAGTTTTGGGGTGTGTGACCTTCAGGGGCAGATGGTGAAATGGGGTCTTCCCCTTCCTTTCCTCTCTAGTCTGTAGACAGCACTGCCAGGACTTCTGTCCACTTGGGCATCATTGTGAGTTCTTGGTCCCCAAGTCTTGGAGAGGATAGGGTTGACTGTAGACTCCCGACACTGTTGGATATCAGTCTCTGTGCCTTACTTTGCCAAACCAAAGTGAAACAGATGCATTTCTGCGCGTTCCCAGAAGACAGTCTCGAGTGACGGCAGTGCCCAGTGCTGGCCAGCCCAGCTGCTGGGACTAAGGGTGGCCCTGTGTCACCTGTTCCCTTTGGTGTCCTTTGTGCTGTTCTGCATGGGGTCGGCAGCTCTGCTCAGCGCTGTAACAAATTTAAAAAAAACTAAAGTCTGAATTAATTAGTTTTTTTTCAACTTGTTACAGCAGCGAATGGAGCTGCCGTGGTCCGGTGTAGACTGCAGCACAGTGAAGGAGCCCCACGGAGAGCGCTGCACTGTGGCAACATCGGGGTGTGCGACATCCGAGACGCTGCGGTCCGAGAGCGGGCGGCCAGCACCGCGGGAAACCGGCCTCTGTTTTACTTTCGTTTCGGTGAGCGCACTTGACTGAGACAGAGAAAGAAACCCATGGCAGCAACATGCTTAAAAATGTACTGCCCATCCAGTGCATTGTGAGCAGAATTGTAAACTGGCATTGGGGTAACCTAGGACTGACTGTTAGGGGGAAAGGATGTCCTGAACAGACTCTACAGATACAGGTTTTGTGGACTCCACCCCCTACTCCAGACACTGGTACTACAAATCCCAGCATCACCAAAGAGAAGTGTGCTGGGACCGGAGCAGCCAGGTTTGGATATAAAATGAGACTTGTGGGCTTTGCGGCTCTCTTGGCCTTGTGGATCTTGGCTTGTCTCTTGGCTTTTTGCCAGCTTTCAGTATGCTATTGGGGTTCCAGGTCAGCGGGACTGGTAGGACGCATTAACCAACTTATCTCTCTTTCCCTGAGTTAATCATTTCCCGTTCTCTTGTAAATAAAACCATTATTAATCTTTTTGAGTGTTCCTGCAGTTGAATCTTAATAAGTTCCTTTAAGCATGTGGATGAGGATCCAAAGTCAAACATCCCAGTTCACATTGGGTTACCTGTAACAGGTCCTATCCCTGAGTCTATGTCCTCCAGGTGGGCTCCTGCCATGCATAGGGCCTCAGTGCTTGTCACAGTCCCCAGAATCAAACATCCTGTAGACATAGGGTCAGGTCTGACTGTCATTATAAACAGAAATATAATATTCTGTTTTTACAACTATTTTTGCAGTGGGGACATCACTTAAAAAGCACTTGAGGAAGAGCAACACATGACAGACCATAAGATCGTTTACAGTGTGGGTCTACTAATCTTTGTCTCATAGCCAAAGGCCTGGGAGAAGGATGGCCAAGGTCCCCTGAGGTTCTGTTCCAGGGGGAGCTCCAGAGCGCCATCATCATCTTGTCTGCTGGGGGCATAGTAATAAAGAGAAACTGAATCATTTAATCATAGTGTCATGTTCAGAGTTCAGGATTCCCGGAGTGGACAGTGCTTTAGATAGGAGCCCATGAAGTCAAAGGTTAGCTCAGTGCACTTTCTTGAGGGTAAGAAAATAAGTATGTTAAAGGTTTACCTTCAGGATTCTACCTCAAACAACATGGATTTTCATGAAAATCATGTACAAATAAGACAATGATGAACTTGGCTAATACAGTTGGGCCCTGGAGCTCAGAGGAGGATGCCATCCTTGCTACTCAGCTGCGTCTACTGTGTGTGCTCTCCTGGCCAGCTTGCTGCCTCATGCAGAAAGTGTCCTCAGGGAGAGAGTAGGGGTCCTTGAGTGGGCGTCGAGTTGGCACCAGCTGTGAGGTTCTTTTCGCCATTTACTAAGCCTCATGTGCTGGGTGAAATTCAAAGAATGCCTGCACAGATGCTGCTTGGTGGGTCTGGCCACTTCCGTCCACAGCTCCCCCGGGACTCAAGGTCAGGAGGCCAGATTACCAGCCAGCGTCGCAGTTTTCACTTATTTTGGAGTAGTTGCTCTGGCTGAGCCATCATGTATGCTACACAACTTTGTTCTCTAGGACGCAGTAAGGAGCACAGAGGTTTCTAAAGCTGAGACCTCTTTCTTGACTAGCCCAGTTTTAGAAATAACTCTGGTATCGGGTATTTATCATGGACATCATTTTTAGTCACTTTTCTACCATAAGGGTTTTTCTCATAAGGGTTTGCATTTTGATGGACTTTACAGTCTTCCTCCCTCCTTCCCTTCCTTCTTCCTTCCTTTTTCTTTGTTTTTAATTTATTGGGATTCTTCAGGAATCACTACTTTAGGGTACCAGTCCTTCACCATAGTCCATTGTGCTTCCTTCCCTTTTGGTTCTAGACCAGCTTTTAACAGTTAGCTTTTAAGGCTATCTTTCTCTGGTTCTTGGTTTGTCTGTATTCTGCATATGAAGGACACCACCTGGTATTTATCTTTCTCCTTCTGACTTATTTCAGTTAGCATTATCTTTTTTTTTTAACATTATTTTGTTTACCGGACAATATTGACTTCTTACAAAAGTATTTTAAAACCACTTCCAGGTTTTTGTGATTATGAGTCAGAACCATTTTACAGCAGGTGCTCTACATTGTCTATGTGCTGGAGTAGGGACTCTAATCTCTCCCACATCCTGGGGTGCTGGCTTCAGGTGTGGCTGTCCCTGTTATTCTTCTCTGCCTAGAGCACAAGTGACTGGCCCAGATTAGCAGGTGTGAGTTGGGTGCTCTTGAGATATGTTGTCCTGATGAGGGCAGTGTTGAACACTCCTCTAAGTCTAGGTGAGAAAATAATGTGTCAGAAGCTAGAAAGAAAAAAGAAAACTATATGTTTAATGAGGGGAGGGGTCAAATGAGTAAATTGGATCACTTTCATGGAGAGAGTACTACTTGCGAGACTTACTCATTTGGTATCAGCCCTTCAAGTTTTTTGATTCTCTTAGTGTCTCAGAATCATCTTTCATTAATTTCTAAACCTGATAAAACTTATTAAAACAGAAAATGCAGCCATTCTCTCCAAGGCATTCTTTATAATCTGTGGCAGGTTCTACAATTGAGTCTTCACCACTCTCATCACAGAAAGGAAGGCAGTAAAGCACCATGTTACCATGAGTAGAAAGCTCTCCTCCGTTCCTGTCACTGCATTATATTTTCACTTGTGTGCCCATCAGTGATCTCAGCAGGGTGGCTACAAGCCCAGTTACCAGGAGTTCCTGTCACCCAGTAGTTCAGAGCATCTTGGTGAGTCAGCAGTCTGTCTGTCCTGGCTGCTCCCTGAGAATTGCGTGGGGTCCAGGTGAAGAGTCCACTACAGAGAAGTCCTTGGTCAGTGTGGATTTATCTGGCCACCTTCATTTCCTCTGGAGATTACGTGACCCTTCACAGGAGCAAAGATTCATCTGCTTCAGCTGCTCTTCCCTTCCTGAGTTGAGCCATCTCTCCACACACTGTTTCAAGCTCAACCCACCTGTTACTTCCATGAAGATTCTCTCTGACCCCTTAGGTTGGGGTAGACCTCATTCCTGTCATCACAGCACCCTATTTCAGGAATAACTTACAAAATTGTGGACAGATGTCACTTACACCCCTGCCCATGTCTGGATTTTAACATCTGGTTTACTGTACTGTTAATGAAATGACTACTTTTATTTAATATTCTGAGTTTGTTGTTTAGGTGACAGAGCCATATCATTAGGAATTTCCTGTGGGAAATCTTTCTTAATCATGCGATGGAAGTAATTGATTGGAGTTCTAATAAAAATGGCCTATTTCTCTTCTCTCTCTCCCTTGGCACTTAAACACTTCCTAGTGGGAAAACTATGTTTAAATGAATGAACGTATCATCAAATGGGTTAGAATGCATAGGAATAATGAATAATACTTTTTTTAAGATTTATTTATGCATACAGAACCGGGGGACAGGCCAGAGGTGCAGGGACTGTAAGAACACTCACCAGAGACAGTGCGGGGAGCAGAACAGGCAGACTGATGAAGTACACTGCTGAGGGGAGCAGCAGGAGAAACAAGAGATGTCTGCTGTGCCATGTGGGCCACCTCTGGGCCTCACACTGACGTGGTTGCGGCTAGCTTGCAGTGCTTCACTTTAACCTGTTGCACCACCAGGGAGGGCCAATATTTCTGTTGACTGGATTCTATGTTTCTGCACTCAGTGCTGCCTAGTATCCCTGAGTCTGGAGATTTCATCCTTCACCCTCCCTTCACCCTTCACCCACCACAGCCCTTCCCAGCCAGAACATCTCCTAAATTCTCAGTTATTCAGGTCAGCAAGGGTTGTGATTCTCTAGAATTGAGAAGGGGTTCCTAGTAAAGATTGACCAGGAGGAAGGTGGGCAACATCACTTGTTGGAGGGAGACTAAGTTCAGGTGAAGGTTATCTGGGGCCTTGTTTTCTGGTCAAGAAAGTGCAGAAAGAGGAGAATTAGATCCTGCTTGTATTGCAGTAGGAGGAAGCTTGAAGTCTGGGTGGTGAGGGCCAGCTGGGATTGGCAGGCAGCTCTTATTTCAAGGGACAGGCAAAGCCAGCACTGAGTCTGGTAACTTCACTGAGGGTGAAGGGTGGAGGACAGAGGGCCCCAAGGCGAGCTTGAGTCTCCCGGAGGAAGAGCACTTGCATTCTTCCTTTCCTCCTTTCTTTCATCCTACTTCATCATCTTCCTTCTGAATTATATTTGTAATCCCTTGTCAATTCTAGAGAATTGCAACCCTTGCTGACCTGAATGCCTGAGTATTTAGGAAATGTTCTGGCTGGGGCAGGGGTGTGGTGAGGAGGGTGAGGGAAGCACTCTCTAGACTCAGGGGTACTAGTCAGTGCTGAGTGCAGAAACATAAATCAGTAATACATGCTGCACAGTGGGATCAGCTACAACCCCAAAGGACAGACACCCCATGCGTGGTCTCATGGCAACTGAAAGGAGGTGTCTTCTGTGAGCAGTAAAACTGCCTAGATGAAAAATCTACTAGAAACAGATCTGATGATGTCCCTACCATAAGAATAAATACCAGCATGAGGCTCCTTCATAGACAAAGGATTGTAAAAGTTGATAGAAGGGAAAAGAAAATAAACATTTTATATAAAGAGTGTAGCATCAGAATGACATTTAACTTCCCAACAATAGCAATGTGAAAGGCAATGGGTAAAAGTAATCTTCCCCCAGAGTTCCAAGCAAAAGCAAGTCCCAGGATGAAGAGATCTCCAGGGAGTTTATTTCTGGATTAGTGCAGGAGAGGCCTCTAAGCAAAAGAAACCTGGAATGAAAATGGTTGCAATCTGGCTGTTTTGCCCAGTGGAGAAAGTATTGGGATGAGTTTTCAGTTTTGTTAGGGTATTTTGAAAAGGATTAGCAATAGGCACATTGAAAACTCAGATAAAGAAACAAAAATGAATATTAACTCCAGAATAATAGCAAAGTGCATGATAGGGAGGTACTAGGAGCATACTGCTGGCTCAGAATCCTAGCATGGGGTAGCTGCAGGGTGTAAGGAGAAGCCATGTTCTTGAAGTTCTTACTCATAAGCGTGAATGTCAATACCAATAGCTAATATTTTTCACTGTAATATTTACCACAGTATTCTTTGATTTAATGAATTCTGTACGTCTACTTAATGAGAGTAGAAAGTCGTTTTTGAGACAAGCATTTTAAAAGATGGTTTGTACAGAAGAGATTCAGTAGCTCATCCGTCATCAAGAACTGTTAAGTAATGATACTAATGTACCTTAGCATGAAGAATTTGTCGAACCTAACAGTGGCTAGAGCTTAGGTGTCTTTTCATAATTTTAATACAGTAGCTTACTCTGTGGGGTTCACAAACATGCCATCAAAATTGAGATGCAGAACTCACCAGAAAAAGAGGGATATTAGATCCAAGGAATAATTTACTGTCATAGAGTCCACCACTGAAAACTAGAAATTGAACTTTTTTTTGTTCAAAAAAAACTTTTTTTTGTTCAAATTGTTATGTCTGGTTTACTTTCTATCAAATATCACTGGTCCTTTTCTCAAGAAGCAGCAGTAGTGATTAATAATGCCAGCATTTATGTCTGGAATGTCATGATTTGCCTGTACCTTATTTTCCTGTACCTTATTTGATCTGCCTTAGAATAGATAGCCATGATTAGCAGGCTGAGGTCAGGTTTTGAGCACTCCCCATAGTCATTTTTTTCTCACCAGGTTAATTTTGATAATTCTTCAAAGCTATGTTAAAAATCAATTAGTTCAATTATTTATCAGCAAGTGGTATAAAATTTAACTTACAATCTGAGCAAAGTTGGAAACTACAGTCCTGGGTACTTCAGTTAATACGATTAAAATTAAGATTTGTTTTTAAGTTTAACTTCAATGATAAATGTACTTTATTATTAATATTATTATATTAGTTTACTTTTACATATTTTTGTGCATTTTTCCATCTCAGTTGCAATCCACTTGGGTTTCCCATCACCAAATCACCCATGTGCCATCACCGTAGATAAATGTACTTTTAAGTTTTAAATTTTCCCAAGAATTGAATGACTTGATCCTGTCTTGGGCTCCACTTTTCTGATCAGAGTGCTAAAGATTTCCACTAAGTGTTTGTTGTTTATTTGGCATCTCTTCCTGTGACATGAGAGCCAATGTTGTGATGTGAGGGAGCCTGTGCTGGGGTTTCTGAAGGCTGCACTGTGGCACTCTGAACCTCCCCAACCAGGATACTGCTCCCTTTGCTGTTTGACAGCCAAAATGTCCCTGATGTCAACCATGCCCCCTATTTGAACCCCCACTCCCAGCCATATTCTTGACTTTCCCCCCCCTCCTGCCTGTGCCCCCATTCCAAGCTCCACCCTGCCTCTCCTCCGCCCGTGCTCTGGGCTATAGCTGTGCTGAAAGGAAAGCAGTGATGGGACTTTCTTCCACCAAATGCATTGCTCCAGAGTAAAGACCCCCAGTTGCCTAGTGAAGCCTCATTCCTCTTTCTTTCTTCCTAATGCAGGGGTGGATCAAGCTTTGCCTCCAGAGCGCCGGGCTCCAGTCACTCCCTCCTCTTCCTCTCGCTATCACCGCCGAAGGTCCTCAGGGTCACGAGATGAACGCTATAGGTCAGGTAAGGCCCCGAATGCAGACTGAGGTTCAGTGACCTTGTGGAGGCTGGCATTGGTGAGCTATACTTTCGGTGTGCGTCTGCAGAGCTGTGTGGTTCTGGAGAAGTGCAGCTAATGTTTACTTTCTTGTGCTGTGTGAGCTACAGGTGACAACATCCTACTTCACACAAACATGCCCTATGTAGCAATCATGAAAATTCAGTACTACAACTCTTACTACATTTTCAAAGGTAAAATTTTCTATTATTTAGAATTGCATAATAATTTAAGTGAGCTAAATTTTGCTAATTTATTTTTAGGTATCATTGAAGAATGGTTTGGTTTTACTTTTTATAATCTTTGCTAGAATGATTTTTTCTTTTTTTTTTTAAACCTCAGTAATTGTTTTTATCAAGAACAGTTTTTCCAAAAAGAAACAAAAATATTGAGAATTTCCTGTGTTCATGTTTATATTTCCTTTGTGGTGCTATCTCAGTAACTTGGTTTTATTGCAGTCATCATCTGGACTTGACTGGTTTAAATTTCCTTCAGTAATTTGGCATGAGAAAATGTGCACTGAAATTGATATTTTCATTACTTTCTGACACGTTTCTCCCCAACATCCAGATTAAAATTGCTCTTTTTTGTTTCCCTAACTATGAGGTTCAAAAGAAAATTATTGGTAAGTGTTAGTTCCTAAGTCATGTGGATTGCGATGTAGGATCTGATTTAGAATATGTATAAGTCACTTTGTACTGTGCAAATACTTTCTCAGATTTTGTCATACTTCATTTTAATAACAGGTAAAGTAGTTTTTACCGCTCCATGTTGTAGAAGATGAAGCTTAGGTAATTCATACCAGCCTTTGGATATGTCAACCATATGAGCCTGTCAGGACTGTGTGTCATGAAACTTTCCATTAATAGGGATGTGCATTATAAATCACCACCACTTCTTCAAGTGGTCTCCCTAACTGACTTTAGGCTTTACTCTGCTCCTATAAAAGAGGGAGTAGACAGATGTTATGCTCAGTAGCCATCATCTGCACAAGCAGAGAGACTGGGCTCAAAAGCTAGAAGAGTCTTGCTGCTCCTGTCAGGAGGAGAATATGTGGGGATAAATAGAATAAAACAGGAGTGTGTTCCCAAACCCATTGTCTTATTTTTTTAGACCTATTTTGCTGAGCTTGTATCAAGAGCATCTCCTCTTCATTCAGGCATTTTAAAGGATCTCTCAAATATTTGGGACGCCAGAGGCACACATATGTACCATTAGATCATTGAATCAATTGAGTTAACATTGAGTTAACTGCCCTGTCTTGGTATTCTTAAAATCATCAATACTGATCTTATATATATGCACATGCACAGTCATCAGTAAGCAGACATAGTCACACATGCAACAGACACATGCTGGTAGAGGGACATATATAGGTACACAGACAAATAGCTACACAGTCACAAATGTAATAGTTATACACAGGTGGACACATTCACATAGATGTGGATGGCACTGTGCGGGACGGCACACAGCACTAAAGCAGTGGTTCAGGGGAAGAATGGAAACTGAATTTTGGGCTCCAGTCCAGTGCTGGATGCCATCCCTGCCCCCATGTATTATGGAAGCTACCCTAAAGAAAAACTAATAAGGTTCTATGTGTCATTATTAAAGCTGGTTTGGTAGTTTTGTTTAGCACCTTATTCTCAGATATTGCCTGCTATTAAAATTATTTAGTCATGCATTTTCCTAATTTAGATACTTTATTGATAGACTATAAGCTACTTTCTCTTCCACTGTATGATCACATATTGTTTTTGAAACATGGCATGAAAGCTTAAGAGCTTATTTTCATCTATAGTCAGGGTCTGTTTCAGGTTTTCTCTTGAGCCAGCATGAAAGAAAGTTGTGTGGTCCTCAGGAGATTTTGCTTTCTAAAATTCAGTGACCACTTAACTTGCAGTAGAGTTACTTTGGTTGCTTCAATGACCAAATTATATCAGCTAAGAAGTAATTCTATTATCTCTTAGATAATTGACCTAATTAACAATCAATCTAGTCAACCATATAGCCTCAAATTTAATCTCTCCTGGCCCTATTTTTCCATTTCATTTCTGAACCCATGGCCTTGTGTTGTAATGAGCTCTTACTTGAATTTTTATAATAGCACTCATCTGTCTTCTTTTTATATAACTCTCCTTGGAACCTTGAATTTGATTTGGAAATTGCATGAATGAACAGGCACTTGCTGAGCACCTAAAAGATGTCAAACTCTATATCCAGTACTTTGTTTCTTCTACTTAATAAAGTTTAAGTCAGAATCTCAAAACACTTTAGCTAGTTTTACTACTCTTTCCCCCAACCCCTCAAAAATAAAACCTTGAGATTTATGTGGTGTCCATGCCAATCAAGTCCACTTTGACAAGGAAGAATATTAAAAGTAAAATGTAGCATACCATTTCATGATATGTTTGAAAGTGTTTCATGTCCTTATAAGCTTCAAAGAAGTTTTAAAAGCCGTTTTTCTTGTTTTTTCTTTTCCAGTTTACTTTCTAATATAGGCAGAAGTATGAACCCTGTAAGCAAAAGCTTTACAAGGTTTTCAACAATATTTAAGAATTTAAGGCATTCATTGAGTTAATGAGTTTGAGAACCATTGCCACTAGATTTTCATAAATACAGTTCCCTTTTTAGAAGTGAGAGAATATTAACTAGAAACATCTACATCTGAGCCTATCTCTGGAGATGATTTTATTCTTATGACAGTTGAATGTCTGATTCATAGTGATGTTGAGTTTCTGGAACTAAGGGTTTACAACCTCATTTTCATTTGTTTAACAAATGTGCAAAATTTTGCATATTGAACACTGTACTGTGAACTATGTATCAAAAATATAGACAACTTTGTGTTTACTTCCAGGTAGTATATTTACCCTGAAGTAAGTTCTTCCTTGATGCTCACAGTGAGTTGTTAAATTGAGAAAGTTTGTTTCACCAGTCAGTTTGAATTTACTGATTTTAATGGGCTCCCAGCTGTGTGCCCTCTGTTCTCACTGAACAATGGATTTTTTCATTTGTTTATTATAGAAAATAGCATATTTCATTTAAGTAGACAGTGGTGTGCTAACAGAGAAGAATAACATATATCAAACTACATCCTCAACTAAGTCTTCCCTGTGAAGAACAAGCTCCATCTGTATGCAGCTTTGTCCAACATGGCAGTCAGATTCCACATGGGACCTTTTAAATTTTAAGTTAATTAAAATTTAATTTAAACTTATGTTCTCCTGCTTCACTAGGCACATGTTAAAGCAAGTGGCTTCTCTAATGGTCAGGGCATTTATGGAAAATCACATTGCAGAGATAGTTCTGTTTCATTGTGCTTTTGTAGGGCCAGTTGTTTAAGTAGGAAATTAGAAGGGAGATACAAAGAAGATTGAGGACATCATAAAGGTCAGATATTCCAAAACTAGTGAAATCATTGTGAACTTGATATCTGTGCTTAGTCATTTAAACAGAGGAACTGACGGTGAGATTTTCATTTTTAGAAATAAAGTGCAACAGGAAGATATATAGAATAGATTGGTTGGGTGGTATGGATTTCCGGTGAAAGTAAAGGTTTTTAAAGAAGCAGTTGTATTTCAGGTGAAAAGATGATTCATCAAAATTTATGGAATATAGTGAAATTGTATTTAGAAATTGGTAGCCTATGTTTATATTGGCTAAGAAGAGTTTGTAGAAGTTGAAGGAGGACTTAATATGTTAGAAATGTTAAGGTGAATAAGTTTATAGAAAGGAGACATGAGAAAATAGTAAAGATAATTAAATGGGATACAGGTTGTTAATGTGGTTTCCACTCTAATATATAGTGAACATGGCAGTCAACATACCCATCCTCACAACAAGAAAAAAATCAACTCTTCAAATTATTGAGGTCACTGGGCAAGCTAGAGAGTGGAAACTCTAGGAAAGAATCCAAAGGTAATGATAGAAATTGAAAGTACTTCACAGAAAAGAGCGATGAAATCACCACCATAAAAGTGATTAATGGTGGATAATCAGAGACAAAGGCATACATAAAGAAAAAATGTTAGATAAGGAATAAAATCAAGATGAAATAAAGTATTTTGTTTTTCTAATATTAATGGATATTATAGATAAATACATTCAAAAGAATGATAAGAATAAGAAAGGAGCTCACAATTTCCCAACTTTAAAACTGAAGAACTAAAACAAAAATAATCAGACAAATATAAATCAGAGACTCTGCAGGGGAGGGAGAGAGGGTAGAACACAAGGGACTAAGGTGATGTGCAAGGGGGAATTGGTGGTGGAAATACTATGAGGACTTCACCTCATGTAAAAGTATATACAGGGCCCTCCCTGGTGGCGCAGCGGGTTAAAGCACAGCACTGAGAAGCTAAAGCCACTTCCGCATGAGTTCGATTCCCGCCTGCCCCGGAGGTGACCACATGGTGTGGCAGACCTCTCCTGACCTGCTCGCTGCTCCCCTCAGCAGTGTACTTCGTCGATCTGCCTGTTCTGCTCCCCACTCTGTCTCTGGTGAAGCCTCTCACCGCCCCTGAGCCTCTAGCCTGTACCCCGGTTCTGTATGTACAAATAAATAAATCTTTTAAAAAAAAAAAAGTATATACAAATAAAGAACTTAAATATAAAAAAATGAAAAAGTGGCAGCCTTGATAATCCTATAGTCTTTAAATAAGTGAAAACAGTAGTTAAAACCGTCTCACAAAAAAATATATAAGGAAGAGCCACATGGATCAAAAAAGGCAGGATCAAAAATGAAAGAGGAACTTTACAGATGCAATTATGCTAATTTAAAGAGCCCAAAAGACTCGTCTTCTACAATTCCATTGATATAAAATTCTGGAAAATGCAAAACTGCATCAATTAGCATGCTAGTGTTTAATTGTGGCCTCCACAAGCACATTGCCAAGCCTGGTGTTGGTTCTGAGTAGTCAGACTCCCAGTAGCAGCCACCCTTGGCTGAGCACTGGCTCAGTACCAGGCACTGTTCTAAATGCGTTTTTGTTACTGATGTAATCACTGTATCACAGGATTAGAGACTATTGTTTTACTAATTACCTTTTGGTGTGTTTCCTGTGTACTTAGTTTATTGGCGCTATAAATTTTATCCCCCGTATGATTTATTAAGGACAAAAACATTTGTTTTTTGCTACTTAAATGTTGCTTAGCAGGGTTGAGCTTATGATGATAAAGTTAAGATAGTCTAATTTATGCCTAGATCAGTGTCTGGCATAGCATCTGATCCAAGTTCATTTGGTGGTTGAATAGAGACATTAATCATCTTCCTAAGAAACAGTTCCAAAGTCCAAGGACCAAACTGGGGCCCTGTCGGAGGTTGTCTGTGTAACTACAGAAATACAAAAATAGAGAAGGAAAGCTGGGACAATGAAGAGGTGTCACGTCAGTTAGAAATTTACCCTCATGTCTGATGTCGGTTGGCCTGACATGGCTGCAGAGGAGAATAAAGATTAAGACAGGATTTGAAAAATGAATAAGGTTATTACAGGGTACCCCAATGTGTATTGGGTTGCCTGTCTGTGGGGTTTTCACCCACGTGCTTATGATTCAATCATATTATGGACACACTCAAAAAGGTTAAATAATGGATTTATTTATAAGGAGAAAGGTAAAGGAATAACCCAGGGAAAGAGGGAGAGAAACACAGGTTAACTAGGATGTCCTACCAGTTCTGCTGACTTGGACTCCACCGGCACGCTGAAAACCGATTGAGAGCCAAAATGATCAGCTGCGAACCACCAGGTCTCCCCCAGAGCCCACATGTCTGGTTTTAATCCCAACCTGGCTGCTCAGCTCCGCCTTCACGTCCCAGTGTGCTTCTCCTTGGTACTGATGGGATTTGGAGTTCCAGCATCTGGAGTGGGGGCGGAGTCCATAAAACCTGTACCTGTTACAAGGTCAGTTGCTATACAGACAAAACCCTGTCCCAGACCCTTGATGACCAGGTGGGTTGGGAGTATACTTGGTCACCAGGTCTTCTGTGCTGGTCACTCCCTGTTGAGGTCTCTCCTGCTGACCTGCCCCAGTCTCCCAGGGCCAGATCCCACATCTGTACTCAGGCCACACATTTCCATCCTTTGGTTTGTCACTTCCTGCTCTCCTATTGGTTTGCCAGTCTGTCCTCCCTAAACATTCCACAGGTTCCATGAAAGGAGGTACATCCTAGGAGCTCAGTTAATTACTGTTGAATGAGTGAGCACAGATGCCAGACGAGGCCCCTCCCGGACAGCTCCTCTCATTCCCCACATCTCACATCCTGTAGGAATGAATTTTCTTAGAAACTTGCGAAGGAAGCTGGGATTAAAGCAGCAAGGAGCCAAAAACTGGGGGGCTGGCCATGGCTCTGCTGCACCTCCCTGCCCCACCTCTGCCCAACGGCAGTCATTCTCTCACATGTTCTTTCTACCATTCCATCTCTGCCTCCTCATTCCTGGCTGCTACTCAGTCCTCACCATCTGGGCACAGTGCCCCCCACCTCTGCTCCCTTATGCATATTTTTCTAGTGAATAAAAAAGGACAACTACCAAGGTTATGCCGATACAACTGAGCATGGGTGGCTCCAGACTGAGAGTTGCAATGGCAGCAGTCGGAACACATGATAGACATCCCTCTGGTCACTCCATGGAGCAGCTTTCTCGCTCTCATTTTGTACACCCACTGGAAACAGTCATACCTGGGCTAAGTCGCATGCCCAGGGATACGCAGAAGAATTGGATTTGAGTGGAACCATGGCTTCCGCTGCTCTGCGGTTCAGAATGAAGTGTGCTTCCACGGAGATGGTGCTCTTCTGTTGGTTCCTTTGTCTCTGATGGCGGCAATGTCCCTACAAGTCTGTTGTGTGTATATTATTGATTGTATAATGTGAGCCCTGTGAGAGGCTGGGAGAGCATCACAGTGCTGTTTCCTCACATATAAAACAAAAACAGTAAGACCATGTTCTCCTTGGGCCATGTGGGGACAGTGAATGTAGGTGTGTCTTGTCTGGGCTTCGTCCTTTATGGGCATGATGGTCCTAGCACCCTCCTTACTATTCCCCAGTGTTCCTCTCTCAGACGTGGACTGTTGACCTCTAAAACCCTCACCTGATGAAACCTCCTCTCCCCATATTGTTTTTATTGTGCCTGCATCTTTTCATTCACAGGTTAGGGCCTTTGAGCTGTGGAGAATCTCACTTGGACAGAAGTGCAATCATTCTTACTACTCAGATCACACTTTGAGAACCCATCCCTTGCTTCGCAGTGAAGTAGCCACTCAGTCAATCTGCGTATCCTGTTTTAATTCTCAACCCTGCTTGGATTGCCCATTGCCTGAATCTAGCTCATTAATAAGTGAGCTGCATGAGAGAGAGTCCTGGTCTACCTGCTTCTCTGTTGTACGGTCAATGTTTGAGACACTCCCTTAGAAAGCAGACATTCTGTAAAATGTGTGGGATTATATAAAGTATTAATATATTCAAAGGACCTAGCACAGTGATTGGTCCATAACTGAGGCTGTATAAGAGATAGCTAATAGCATTACTACTCACCTGTAAAATATATCTACATCACAGAATAATGAAATGAATTATGAATCTTGAAAATGTGACATGGGCAGAAATAGCAGAAGATCAAGGTCCATTCACCATTACAAAAGAAAAATCACATGACAATTGATAGCCAGTATTTGGTTATACAGATTCTTTGGTAATGTGTAATTAAAAGTCTGTGAAAGAATTTCAGTGTCTTTTTACTGGTGATTTTAAACTGGCATGTTTAAACTTCTTTTTCTTTCTTCCTTCACCCACCATTTGTGACAGTTCCTGCAGGAAGACCAACATTTTCACAGAACCAGAGAGAAAGAAGTTGCATGGGCCTTCAGGATATCCTTTAACAATGGGGTAATTGAGCTGCTTCTTGTTTCAGATGTCCACACAGAAGCTGTGCAGGCAGCGCTTGCTAAACACAAAGAGAGGAAGATGGCAGTGCCCATGCCTTCCAAACGCAGGTCCTTGGTTGTACAGACTTCGATGGATGCCTACACACCCCCAGGTGAGAGCAGGCCCCCGGTCTCCCCCATCAAGTGACAAGTGTCCCTTAGCGTGAGTCTATTATAATCAAGCACTTTATAGCTTTCAAATAATGGAGCTTTCATTCAGATTTTGTGACCCAGAAGTCCAGAAACAGTCTGTATACTCCAAATTGATCTTGGAAGGAAACATTAACATTATTACATATATGTGTATAAATATGTATTTTCAGTTAGACCCAGGATAATAACTTTTAATAGTCTTAATAACCTTAAGTTATTAAGTTAATAATAGTCTTAATAACTTTTTTTCATGTAATTCTTCATCCGACAAAACAGAAGCTTGTACCACCACAGTTCTAATTGAAGTTGGACTTTCCCTCTGTGTAAACTTAGGTATAATAGTCTTGTGTCTTTAAAATGTAGATATGTTGTAATGTTATACACAAAAGAGTTAAAAAACATAGGAAGTTACCTAAATTTGAGGTCACCAAACTTTTGCTTTGAAATGCAGGTATTCTGGTCTCTGTGTGATATCAGGTGTCTGTCACAGCTACTTCTATTATGCAGAAATTGCTCCAGGGATATGTCACTGAACAGGCTTGGCTGTGTGCCAATAAGATTTTATTTACAAAATTAGCCCTGGGTCCCATTTGGTACATTCTCCTGCACATTTTCCTGCAGCCCCAAGTCTAATGTTTGAAGGAGGTATCTAATCCTATTTCTGATACATGATACTGCTTTTATTTAATCTTCACTTCTATATAGCTAAGTTCTCTACTTCCTTCTGAACAAGTAATTATAATCTGTATTCACAATCTTCAAAACAAAGTAAAACACAAAGTTAAATTATCTGATATCAATAAGAAACAGGAACTACTGAAGCCTAATTCACTTGATGTTTTTCCTGTGACTTTGGTTTCAATACAACTCATGTTGATGCAGCTACTTTCTCTTCTCTGCAGACCTAACTTACTTTCCACACCACTTCTAATATTACTAACAGCCATATTTTGTTCATAGGAGAAACTTAAGATGCAATAGGAATAGTTTAATGCATATAACACTTTCTAGAGTATTTTGAAGTTTTGTTCTGAGGTTGGAAGTGGTGAGGGCAATGGAAGTGCACACTTCAACTTAGAGGTGTCAGCTATATGTGGGATGTTCCTTTAACAGTGAGAGCTAGTGCAGAGGTTAAAGTCTCAGCACCATCTAGCTGAGTTCCATTCCTGCCCTGGAGGTGACCCACATGGCGCAGCAGACCTCTCCTGTCTCACCCACAGTTCCCCTCAGCAGTGTATTTCAGTAGATCTGTCTGCTTTGTTCCCCACTGTGTTTCTGGTGAATCCTCTCACACCCTGCACCTCTGGCCTGTAGATCAGTTATTGTATGCATAAATAAATAAGTCTATAAAATATTAAAATGAAATTCCTGAATTTTATAAGACAGAACTTAAATAATGAATATCTTTGTATGTTTCTTTGTAGATAATCCAACAAAGGTTCTTCATCTCTAGAATATAATATTCTAGTAAGAAAGAGAGTAGTTTTTTGTTTTTTGATTTTTTTTTGCTTTCTTATTCTTTTTCCTTATTTATACTGAGCCAGAAAACATGATGGGAACTGTTAAAAGTTACCAAAATTAATATGTTTAATCCTATTCAAGTTGTGGTTCTAATTTGCTACACTTTATGATGTGATGAAAACTTCAGTTTAATGTATTATATATTAAGCAGAATCACAAACCTACTTAAAGCATTTTTGACCAAACCTTTAGAACTATGCAGCATTCAAAGAGATAGACACTTTCCTGGGCTCCTTTTGCAAACCATTTTGAGTTTAAAATGAAACAAACAATATGATTATTTGTGTATGTGCCTTTTCACATGTTTTACATTTTAGAAATGTCATTGTAGCATACATGATGAGGCCAAAACTTCTGAAGTACAAATGTCTTTGCAAAATACAAAAGATGGAAAATTTTATATTGTCTATAGTTTACCACAATAAAAAAGATTTAAAGTCTTAAATCCAGTTACATAAAATGTGTGGATTTCATGTGTGTGTTTATGTGTATATAATCCTGTCTATAGTTTTTAAAGGGCAGGGAATTTGTCAGGCTCCTAATATTATTGTTGCTTTTCTACCATGTTTCTAACAAAGAATTTCAAGACAGCATGGTCATTTACAATAATAATTAAATAATAGTGTAAGTATTTTTACCATTCATTGGTATTTGGTATGTTTTTAAAAGATCCCATATCTTGATCTAAGACTGTCATTACTGACATCCTCCTTAAATATCCCAGAACGCTCATGTTAGTTTTTCCTTTTTGGCATCTCATTTAGGCAGGTTCCTAAATGTTATTCTTTCACTGGAGATTAACAAGCCACCAATAACTCATTCTTCAGTTATTGAAACAGTATTGAAAGATACATATTTGTAATGAAAAAAATGAATATGCTTTTTCTGAACCCAAAATATATTAATGTAAGCATTTTCACCAAAAAGTAAATCAACTAAACAATGAAAGTACATAGGACATGAGTGATGCACAAACATTTAGTTTGGTCATCAGTAACGTGGTGGGGTTTTGTTGTCTTCCCCATGGGAGAAGGCCCAGGGTTGATGGTGTGTGTTTGCTGGAGAAGACTGTGGGGAGGAGGAGCGAGGGGGTGCTGGTTGGGTGGGGGGCAGGAAGAGCAGTGTCTCATGGTGGTGCTTTCCTTCTGCACCATTTTCACCAGAGATTGATGTCTCAACCTTCAGGAAGGCCCTTGTTTATCTTGCATTCACAATGAATTTAAAAATAAATTAGGGCCCAGAAAAACATCTAAGGACTATATAAAGGCTGCAGACAATCATGCTCTGAAACACATTTCAACATTTTTTAGAAAATGCTGCCCTTGGCCTTCTCAAATGGCATATTCACACAAACTTTTTTTTTCTTCACAAGCTGTTGAGTGGAGGAAAATGGTGAGTATGTCTTAGTCCAAGATTGTAATGTCAAAGTAAACTTTCTGTAGTATATTTATTTAAGATACTTGAAAAATTCTTTTGCCAAACTGCAGATGTGTAACTTTTTCAAAGCTGTTCAAAATAGAAGTCATAGGAGGGTCAGCATGTGGGGCAGAGGGTCCTCGGAGAGCAATGAGATGGTTGTGCGGCTTGGCTGTGATGCACAGTGAGTCCCCTCTCTCTTCACCCAGATACCTCCTCTGGTTCAGAAGATGAAGGCTCAGTGCAGGGGGACTCCCAGGGTACCCCCACCTCCAGCCAGGGCAGCATCAACATGGAACACTGGATCAGCCAGGCCATCCACGGTTCCACGACCTCCACCACCTCCTCCTCCTCCACCCAGAGTGGGGGCAGCGGCGCCGCCCACAGGCTGGCGGATGTCATGGCCCAGACGCACATAGGTGAGTACTTGTGGAAAGTGGGGTTTTACTATTCCAGACCATTCCATTACGCCGGAATTTCAGGAGCTTTCTGCTAAAAGGATGTATTCTTGATTTTCAGGGAAACTTGTTTACATGTTTTCTTCTCATGCTGAAATATGCTCCTAAATGAAATATTAATACTGCTGACAAATAAGATGGGGGGTGGTTAAAGTGGGTTTACCATTACTTTGGAAATCATTTTAAGGAATCTATTGGACTTTAATCACTATTTCTTTTCATTGTTCTCTGCCATAAGCATTTAGATTTCTTGAGTGGTTCATGTTATTTTTATATGTAGGTTCTAAAATGAGTGAAAGTCTCCATGTTAAAAAAAAAAGCATGAAGTTTGGAAGTATTACTTGGCAATGTTGAAAATAATATAAAAAAGATTAAGTTAGAATTACTAAAGAAAAAGTGTGTTGGGTAAGCAGAGTGAATAAGTGTGGGTGAATAAGTTGACACTTTTCTGCCTCCTCTTAAGCCTGTTATTCATGCCAGGAAATGAGTCCCCATTGGGGTGTTGCACCTCCATATCTATTCTGATCCACCTTCAGCCATTCAAGTAACTGTGAGGAGTAGGGGCTCGCTTGGCCCAAAGACTCCTCACTGTACTAAGGTGACAACCAGGGGCAAGACAGGGACACAGCCTCCTGGCCACACCAGACCTCATATTTGAAAAGCCCAAATGTAGAAAATATATACATGAATGAATTATAGACTCCGCAAACATTTCACACTCCCACAGTGCCTGTTCTTAGATCATTAACTATTTGACAGTCAAAGGAATGTTTCATACTGTTATCTTAGGACTCAGCACAACTGACTCAGTGAAGTTAAAAGCACCAGCTTTTCAGCATCAGAAACAACACCATGGTCAGCTGGCAGGACTGGGTTAGGAGAGCTGTGTCCAGTGTGAGTGAAAGGGGAAAATAGAAAAATTCTACAAAATTTCTTAATACTCAACTGCAGGTGACATTAAATTTTCACTCAGTACCTTTTCAGTGACATGTACTTTAGTTAATGTGTATTGATAACTTCTATTGAAATCAGTATAAGTTAAAAATTAAACAGTAATGTATGACCATTAATGTTTTTAGATAATAAAGCTCCTTGTATGTTTTGGAACCTGAAATAGTGGGTGAGGTTCTGTCAGCAAACTTTATATGGCACCAGAGTGGGAGGGTGGGACTTGGGATTCCCCCACCACTGCCATTCTCCTCAGCCTAGCAAATGGGTATATTCTGATAGAATTCATTTTTAAGAAAGGACTAGCAACTTACCAGGAGAAACACATAATGTGGAACAAATTAAGCAGCACTTGGACCTCCCTTTGTGATTTTACACTTAGAATACTGGAGGAAATTACAGCATGGAGAATTAAATTTATCCAGACTATAAAAATTTGCATTGCTCATTTACATCAAGTCTCAATGTAACCTAAATATAGCTTTTGAGAGTGTGACATTTCAGTAATTTTTAATTTGGCAAAAAGATAAATTCCTAGATTATCTGGGAATTGTGGGGAAAACTTTTAAAGAAACCAGTGGCAAAATAATGACACCTTAATGAAAATAGGAGAAAAAAAATTGCATTTTATTCCTATAGCAAAGCAAAAGAGGTGAAAGTCAGAAAAGGCAGACCTTTCTGTTAAGATCATCAAAAGCCTGCAAAAAAGAAAAGAGTGTGAATGTGTGTTTTAGGGAATTGAGGATAAAATAAACCACTGGTTGTGTTGCTAATCCAATGGGCAAGGTACTTGGGTAGAATCTACAGAAACCTCATTAGCCCATGGGTAGAGGAAAGCCCCTAAAAGCTGGAAGCATCTGTCTCGCATGAAGTGGCTGTTGGACTTTGGCATTGTTGAAGCAAGAGCTCAAGTATTGTGGGTGCTCACTATGGCAGCCAGAGGCGGTCCCTTGCACGTGGCCCACTGTGAGGCCACCTCGGCACAGTTCTCTCCAAAGAGTGGCTGCTTTTTCTATGCTTCTTGTGTGCTGTCTTATCTGCATGTTGCACTGTTATTTTCACCATTAAGACACTTGTACTGAACTTCCAGTTCCCCTTTCTGAGGATGCCAGGGATTGGGTGCACTTTTGCCAAGCAAGAAGATAAGAAACTCTCTCTCCCCATTTTGGTGTCACTTTGCCCCTCAGGTCGCATGGACGAAAGGTCACTTTCTCAGAGACCACCCTCCAAATGGTATCTAGAATGATTCTCGAGGGGTACCAGAAAATGTGTATTGCTAGTAAATTAGGTCTTAATGTTCTCAACACAAAGAAGAAATGATAATTATGTGATGGGGATGAAGGTGTCTGCAAAAAAATTGTCATGTTAACACATTTGTACATTTAAATTTGTACACAGTAACATATTCATTATATCTCAATAAAAATAAATTTTCAAAAGGAACCTCTGTACCTAACATTCCTAAATGAAAAGAATCTCTGAAATAGAAAAGTATATCTCTGAAATACTTTAGCAGAATCAAAAGTTAGGAGCATGACTTAGAATAGGAGCATGACTTAGAATAAGCAGTGGGATACTTTTAAACTTTAGATGCTTTGCTGTTAAAAAAAAAAAAGCATTGACAGTAAAATACTAAAGGAATTATTTAGCTACATGGAAATTAACAAATTGAACAGAAGCTATTAACTTCTAGACTAGCAAACAAGATCAAAGCAAAATACATAACATTATTGTACATCTGGAATGAAATTTTGTATATTCAGAAATTTAAAGAACCCCTGTACTCTCTTATTTTGTAGCTATAAAAATAATTGATCAGCTCTCTATCATTGTTCACCCACACCATCACATGTGGGTTCCTCCAGTGTGTGTTGTGGTACATTTTCATTAACTAGATGTTTATAGAAGTAATTGCCATTCCTGAAGTGTTTTAGAACTCATTGACATTAATGCCACTTTTGGTGTGTGCTCTCTGAGCAAGCAATTTCTCATTGGATTTCTTGCATCATCCTGCTAAGAAGTTAGGAAGTCACAAAGCAGTCAGATGTGCCACTTAAGTGTTATACAATTCCCTTGAAACCTGGCAATTGTACATTTGAGTCTAGGATCCAATTTTTAGGGAATTTATTCAGAAGCCTTGAATAGCTGTTGTGATAAATTATAAATTACTCTATTTACATATGATCATCCAAAGTATTAGATAATTCTTTTGTAATCTATTGACACTTTAAACACATTTACAAATAATATATCAAATACATATCAAGGAGGGTGATCTTAGCAAAGTCTGACACATGGGGCCAGGATCTCTTGCAATTCCCCCTCCTGGCTAGGTTGCCCACGCAGCTAGAATTTCACAGTCCTTCAGTAGAGGTTTCAGGTGATCCTGTAAAGGAGAACAGAGTATGTATCTCAGGCTATTTCTGGTCTCTGGTGCAACTGTTTAGCTCTGCTGTCTAATACAAAAGCAACCTTAGATGTGCATACATAAGTGGCATGTCTGTGTGCCAATAAATCTTTATTTATAAAACAGCTAGCGTGACCAACCCCATGTTTTAGTGTTTTAAGTTATGCAGTTGAAAAGGCAAATAGAAAACAAAAATAAGATTTTGTATTAGATAACAGAGGCAGAGTTGAGATTCTTCTATTAGGTACTTACTTCTTACAGCTTATTTGAGTAATACAGTACTGAAAGAGACCTGGGCTTGAGAGATGGGCCTCTTATCAGCTGACATGACTGGGAATTTTTAGTCAAGTCCTAATGCTGGCTTCTAATCCTGCATCATCATGTGTAGTTGGTAATGAAACAGGTCTGCAGAAATGCATTCATTGAAATTGTGTGAACGTCACCACAAATCTGCCTACAGTCTCTCTACATTCACACCAGCCTCGTCTACTCCCACAGTTTTAACGGCTGCCTGCTTTCTATGACTCACAGGTTGCATTTTCCATCCAGACACCCTTCCCTAAGTCACATTTCAAGATGCCTCTCACATTGGCTTCACCCTATACCCCGAGATTGGCTTGTCTGCTGGGGCCCTCCTTCCTTGGTGCTAGCTCTGTACATCAGCCCTCCCCATTTATTTCCCACCTACTGTCAGTGTCTGCTACTGGGATCCAGCCTTCCTGTGTGTTTTGTTTTCTTCCTTTCAGCCTTCTCCCTCCCACCTAAACTGATGCCCTGTCAGTGTAGTTAAATTCCAGGTCTGTTCCTATCTCTCCCAAAAGATACCTTGACTCTTTCATTCTCAAAATTGATTTTATTTGTTTTTTTTTTTTTAAAGATTTATTTATTTGTACATACAGAACTGGGGTACAGGCCAGAGGCTCAGGGGCGGCGAGAGGCTTCACCAGAGACAGAGTGGGGAACAGAACAGGCAGATCGACGAAGTACACTGCTGAGGGGAGCAGCGGGCGGGTCAGGAGAGGTCTGCCACGCCATGTGGTCACCTCCAGGGCAGGCGGGAATCGAACTCATGTGGAAGGAAGCGGTTTTAGATTCTCAGTGCTGTGCTTTAACCCGCTGCGCCACCAGGGAGGGCCTTATTTGTTTATTTTATACTTGAAATAAAAGTACTGCTCTTTGGATGCAGAAGTCTGCTCCCCCTTCATCTAGCACATACTCTGTCCTACAGGAAAGCCCCATTGGCCTGCTTTCGCACACCTTAGTACATGCAAGAGAAATGTTCACAGATTGTTTCTGAGTGTGCTTGAAAGGGGAGGCCCACACTACACTCAGAAGACATGGCAGAGAGAACCTGGGGCCTGAGAGCAGCACCTGCTGGTGTGGTCAATGCAGGTGTCAGCAGGTCGGGGCTGCTTTCTTTTTCTGCAGATGAGAAGACTGGGGTGCAGAGGAGCCAATTGGCTGCCCCAGAGCACCCAGCTGCAGAGCGGCAGGGTCCCCACTCCCTGCCGTACCTCTGTGTCTGTTCCAGCCTGGCCCTGCTCCTTACAGACAGCGCTCTTCTCTGTACAAGGGTACAATTAGATTTTGCATAAACAACAAAGATGTCAGCATCCTTGTCACAGCCCCACAGACTCTGTAGTCTATGTGGGGTTTGTGATAATTAGAGCTTTCGTCACACATCTAGAAATCAAGAAGTGCTTATTCAAAGTTAAAGATTCCTGTTCTGAAAATAGAACAAATCTTACTTCTTAAGATTTGTCTGACAGTCTACCACAGTTTATGGAATTTTTAGGGCATACTATAGGAGGAAGATAGTTCCAAACCTGAGAAGCTATAAAATCTGCTCATGTCAACCTTGACTCTTAGAATTGTGGCTGGGAGAAATGTTTGGATAAGGAGCCAACAAACACTTTTCTAATCATCTCTTAATTTAGCCTGTAGATAATTTGCCTGTGACTTTGAAAAGCAAGTGTGAATCCCCATTATCAGTATTACTCACACACTCAGGAAAGATTCATCTGCATCAGAAGACAGGTAAATGGAGTACACTGCTCAGTCCCTGAGTGATATTCAAATAAGAAGCTCAATCCTCACTTATATCGTCATGTATCATTTATGGTTGAGACACCAATTGCAACTTCCCTGTGAGGTGCTTTTTACCTATAAAAAGTAGATTTGCCCTTTTTCTTCTCTTCATCCAGAAGTTACTTGGGAACTGTAAAATAATTAAGATGATTAAAAGTGGGATCAGCCACCCCTTAGGGTTCCCCATCATAAATAGAGTTAAAGGTGGCTTCCTTTCAGCTGCTGCTAGAATCAGAAGCATTTACTCTCATTGTCAAGTGTTTATTAATTTATTTGTCCTCTGAACTACTCAAACGCTTGCTGAGCACAAATGATGTAGGAGCGCGGCAGGCAAGTCCAGCATCTGAGCGGCACACTGAGCAGCCCTCTGCGTGGGCAGGTGACTAAGAAGGTGTTAGACCAAGGAAGCAGGGAGCCCAGTGGTGCCCCGACATGGTCATGACCTGAAACATCTGTCTGAGCAGGGGTGGTGTTGGCAGGAGTAACAAACTAAAACCCAGAGTGGGATTTTAGAGGTGAGATGGGACCCCCAATACTCACGGCTGAAATAGTTCACAGATACTGTATTGTAGATGCTGGATACACATCCTTCTGCTTCTTCCTGTATCCATCCTGATTCCATATTTTTTTCAGGAACCCTGACAGCTGAGAGTAAAATGATTTGGAGTAGAGAGAAGATAAGCCCCTACCCCAGGGGATAATAACTGTAGTTATCTCAGTAACTCTGGAGTGGCTGGAAGGATTACCCCCATTTTTCTTTGATTCTAAAAGTACTAGGAAATTGATTTAGAGAGCAGCTGACAATCTTGCTTAGAAGCTGCACCACTCTCCACTGAGGACTCCTGGTCTTTAGAGTGCCTACGCATGTGTGACTTCCCAGACCCCCTGCTGGAGCTGGTGAACTTTTTTGGATCTTTGAACCTCCACTTCCATTTGACTCATCTTTCCCTTCAACAAATATTTCTTCAGCATCTGTTGCATGCAGAATCCTCAAAAGAAAGATAACTTATTAAATACTCAGAGTCCTGATCTCCAGAAAAATAAAGTAGGGTGCAGCACATCACTCCAGTGGCAGAACTTTCTCTGGCTTCCTAACAGAAGCTGGCTGCTGGGTTTATGATCCTGCAGTGAAGCCATATGGATGAGTAAGGGAGGGGGAGGGGCACATACATAAATTTGGAAAGTACTTTGAAGTCACCCAGCTGTCACCATTCCTATTTTTTCATCACCAGCTGTATTGGAATCATTATTTTTTCCAACTTCAAAGTGGGAGTGCCACAGCGTTCTGCTTCCACCACGAGCGCTGACTGGCTCTCACCAGTGATGACTTAACCAGTCCACCAAGTGAGGTTGCAATGCAAGCTACTCACTTCTTAAGCTGCTTTGTTTTTAAAGGGCTTATTTGGAAATTTGCTCAGCATGCTTTAGCATCTATTGTATTTTCTTTTGAATTAAGAGGTCCCAGTGAGTGTACTGCTTAGCTGTGGAGAATGAGGTAATTTTGAAACCTGAAATAAAATCTATTTGTCAAAAGCACAGAAGGGGTTGATGCAGATGGTATGTGCAGCATCTTAAACATTGAAGGGACGGCTTCAGTGATTCTGCTCTTCCCTCTTGACCTTCACCTTTGTTTCTAAAGAGTCTGACCTGTCCGCCTCCCTCTCATGGACACTCCTGGGCTTAAAGCAAAGAAGTTATCCTTAAGACTGGCTTAAGAGGATGGCAATCATAACAATGCACCATGACAAAAGTCTGTCACCCCCACCCTAGAGGCTGGAGAGATGCAGGTGTCAGCTGGGCTCTCTCCTGAGGATTCTGTCCTTGGTGTATGGACAGACATCTTCTCCCCATGTCTTCCCATGGGCTTCCTCTGTGTCTCTAATCTCTTCTGAGGTTAGCAGTCACTTAGAATTAGGGCCTAATGACCTCCTTTTAACTCAGTCATCTTAAAGACCCCATCTCCAGTATAGTCACATTTGGAAGTTCTAGCAGCCAAGACGTCAGTATATGAGTTTTGTGGGGACACAGCACAACTCATAACAGGAAGATAAGTGGAGGACTCAACTCTGCTGAATGGTTTGTGCTTAGGGTGCTGATGCAACTCATTACACTTAGGCTTAGATCTCTGCCTAAGCTTAGACCCTCAGCTGTGGCTGCTTGCTGCCCAGGCTCTACCCAGCACACAGGATCTGGGCTCTTCGCCCTCAGCCAGGGTCATGTGTGGGAAACAACAGTGCCTGAGTGCTTGTGTCTACTTCTCTCCTTCACACCCTCCATAACCTGACAAGGTGAGCACTGTTGTTGTCACCTGTGTTCAGAAAGTAAACTGCAGCACAGAAGCTAATTGCTAGTCCCAGAGAATAGCTGTGAGCAGGGCCAGGGACCATCTCAAACCAACAGCCTGGTATCCCCGGCCCCTTGCACATCCCCACACATCTGCTGGGTCAGTGTGCCTGGATCAAGTGTATGAGGTGCATTGGGATATTTAGCCACCCTAGATGCTACATTTGAAACTTACCTAAGAATACAAATTGACCCTTCCCTAGCAGCACCCTCTTTTCTGTTGTATGCCCTGGTGTATACAAGCTCACTTCTACATCCAGTCCATCTTCACTGTTGGCAGATTCCATACTTTCAAATCCACCTACTTGCTACCAAATATTTTTAAATCTCAAGTCACTACTCAAATGAGTACTGTAGTCATGGGCAGAGTGGCTAAATTTTTAGTCTCTGGCATATGTTTCCAGCTGAGGCCAAATAAGGTGAATCTGCTTTCTTGTTGAGCTCAGACTGTAAGTAGTCTCCTACACACAATCTGTCTGGTGCTCCATCATTCCCCATCCTTACGATTTTCACTGGTGATCTTACTGTTTCTAGTGGCCCCATGTGTGGTGCTGATGTGGACAGCACCCAGTGCCTGCTCCCTCCCATAGCCCAAGTGACATGCTTCTGTCACATGGAACTGCAAGAGGGCAGGGACTTCACAGTATGCAGGAAGATAAGTGAGTCAAAATCAATAGTGTGATATCCATTATTAGAACATACAAAATGCCATTCATAATCTCACTTTGCATATTCTTCTTCATGTCCATTTTTAATAAATTCAAATTGTACTTTCCCCACTTAACCATTTAAGCACTTAATTTTGCCACTGGTGACTGTTGCCCACCTCACTATGTATGACACACATCAGGGAGTAAGGTGTCTTTTGAAGGACTGTTCGTATTACTCATGTCAAAACAAATTATAAAATAGCTAATAGTTCTTGAATGCTCAAGAAATGTCCTAAGAATGCTATGTATGATAAATCACTTAATCTGTCCAACTAGTTAATGGCCATTGCCATTACTAGCTGATGGATGAGAAAACAGGTAAAGAAAGGGTAAAACATTCCCAAGATCTTGATCAGTTTGCTGAACTGGGATTCACACCCCAGGCTTTCTGCCTCCAAAGCTTGAGCTCTTCTCTGTTTGGATAATGACAGACCAAGAAAGAATGTTCCTAAAGAATAAACATGTAGCTATCTCTTTTTTCCTTTGACTACTTGAAAAGGATTGTTATAGTTAAAATGCTATAGTGACTCATTGGTACAGCTACTGTTGTGATCTTCTGTCTGAAGTTTTCATGAACTTTGTTCATTATGAGCAATACACATTACCAGATGGGTCATCTTTCTGCTGAGATTTTGTAGTATCCTTTTGGAAGGGCAAGGTGTTGTTGGAGGTCCTGTTGCTTACTTGTGCTTCAGAACAACTGTGCCATGATAATCAGAAAGCTCACAATTTGTTCTTTACAGAAAATCACTCTGCACCTCCTGATGTAACCACTTACACCTCAGAACACTCAATACAAGTAGAAAGGCCCCAAGGCTCCACGACGTCACGGACGGCACCAAAGTACGGCAATGCTGAGCTCATGGAAACAGGAGACGGTGAGACTCGGCAGCAGTTTTTCACTTTTTCAAATTCTGGTCTCTACTACCTTGCCTCTCAGTGCCGGTGATTGGTGCTTCTGGATACACAGTCAGTTCATTGAATTTATTGTCAGGTTCTCTGTGAACCTCCTGGTGACTGCAACAGACTCTTAAGAAATGCAGATTACCTCCAAGTTGGCCAGGAGTTATTCCTTGTAGGGAAAAATGTCAATGTTGTAGGGATTTAGCTGTGAGGAAAACAGAAATGTCTTAAGAGTCTGATGTTTTTGCTAGCAAATAACCAAGTTCAGCAATGAGGAAATGACTGTGCTTGTGTTCATATTACAAGCAGTTACACAGAAGGGCAAGATGAAGTTAATATAAAAAGAAGGAAACAATTGTCAGAGATGGGCTAGTATGGTGCTTTAGAGATATATTTGGAAGAAAAATAAAGTGATTAGATAAAACCCAATACAGGGTTTCTCCGATAGTCTTCACATCTTTAGTCTTAATGTGTTTTGAAGACAGTAGCCATTTATGTTACCCAGTCTGGAGATGCAGACATGAGCATTATGCTTCTTTCTACCTTCCTGAAGTCTCAGTCTTTCCAAGGTCATGAAAGTTGGGATAGAACTTGGTAATGAAACCAAATGTTATTTTCATGGAGGATGGCTGTAGTCACCTCAGTAGGCCACCCGTCCCACTGTGCTCACCTCCCATGGTACTGTTTGGTTTTGGGAGTCAGGAGCAAGCTTGGTCTGGTCTCTGGGGACTGCTCACCTCTTCATCATGCTCAGAGCCCAAAATGACTCAGGCTTTTGTGCTCTCCATTAGTATGTTTGTCATCATTTCCCAATATGATTGGTTTCCCTGTAACACTTTCAGTTTCAGTGTTTGCTTTCGTTCTCTGCAGAATCTATTATCCAGTTGGTCATTACTGTTGTTCTTGTCATTACCATTTAAATGGCTTTGAAGTTCATCTTTCTCCAGGTAAATTCTGAGTCATAACTGTCCAGTCTAGTATTTGTCAGCCTATGATGACCTCTCTTGTCAGAAAGATAGGAACACTTATGAGGATAAAGCTTACAAGCCACACCCCAGACCTGCAGCATCAGAAGGTCCCTGCTCATGGTTGTCACTGTGCTGCCTCCCTCAGATTTCTGCCCTCAGCTTTCCTGCAGGGTCACCACACTATGAGCGTGCACCCAGCTGAACTTCCTCACTATGCAAATCCTATGGGTGACCTTCAAGGATACTGGATCTCCCATGGCACAGACCTACCTCCCAGGACCCTTGGAAGGGGCAATGAGCTTCAGTTTCTAGGTTGTTGCATTCAGGCTACAGCATGCCTGAAAGTCAGCTCATTGGCACCATGGTTGTGTTTCAGGTGTGCCTGTGAGTAGTCGGGTATCAGCAAAGATCCAGCAGCTTGTCAACACCCTCAAACGACCCAAAAGGCCACCTTTACGGGAATTTTTTGTTGACGATTTTGAAGAATTATTAGAAGGTAAGAGAGCCCCTGCCCACCCTGTTTGTTTTACTGTCCCCGTCATCCCATAAATGATGATATTTTTCTACCAAAGGTACTTTGCTGTTTAAGAGCACTCATTTAGGAATTCAAGAGAAGACAGGCATGTAAGGGGGTCCTGATAGTCCCCCCAACTATCCCTTCTGACTGTCCCTCACACTGCACAGTTGTGCAGAAACCCAAACCCACTGTTACCTCAGCAGATTGCAGTGTTGTCCCCTGAGCCAGAATCTTGTGAGGCTCTGGAAGGTTACAGAAATGCAAGTGTATATAGAAAACTCACTGTAGCCCAGTTGCCCCTGGATAAGTTAGTGAGGGGGGAATGCAGAGCCTGCAGCAGGCTGCCTTCTGCTTCGCTTTACCAGTTCAGGAGCCAGCGTCATATCCTCTGAATGCTCAAGAGCCTTTTAACACAAAATTGTCGCACTTAAAATTGTTGCAGAATACTACTTACTGTGTCAAAACCAAACTCCTTGTTTCCTTGTTCTTGATAACACAAGTTAGATAGAGTGCATTTTCTGGCCAGCAGGTGGAAATTCTCAATCATAAACTGAGAAAGAAGTCATTTCCAGAAATCAGAAAAATAATCTTGTTTTCTCACCTATCTAAAGAGTTGGGCCGGTTATATTGTATTATGAGGCATTTTTCTTTTGCTCAAGAAAATATGCTCTTCTGTCATTATTCCTAGGGTTTGTAGCAAATTTTAACATATATAAATATTTAAGGGCATAAAAGTTTAGTGAGATTTGAGCACTTGGGGTCCAGTGTTAATTCATATAAAGTATATGTTAATTCATACTTTTAGCATAGGTATTGCAATCCTAAATTCTAGACATGTTATAAAATATGTAATTTACCTGCTGTCAGTTTGTAAATGCATTCAGGTCTCCTGAAATTCCTCATCCTAATATTGCTTGGGGAATTAGAAGAATTGAGCCTTCATTTATACCATTGAGGCTTAGTTTGCAGCTAATAACTCTGATTCTATAAATAAATGTTTCCTGTCCACTAGTAAAGTTATATGTTTATTAGTTGTACTCCTAGCCTGTTTCAAAAGAATAAAAAGCTAATTGTGCTAATATACATATATGTTTCTTGCAAAATTTGTATTCAAATGTGCTTATTATTAGTTCAACAACCAGATCCAAATCAGCCAAAGCCAGAGGGAGCCCAGATGTTGGCAATGCGTGGGGAGCAGCTGGGTGTGGTTACGAATTGGCCCCCATCTTTAGAAGCCGCATTACAGCGATGGGGAACCATCTCACCAAAGGCTCCGTGCTTGACCACAATGGACACAAATGGAAAACCCCTGTATATCCTCACTTACGGTAATTCTGGACAACTTATTCACCTATCTTTGCTTATTCCTACATATAACTGACACTTTAGGAGTGATTGATTTATACTTGGACATCCTTATCATTCTGCATGGAAATAAAGTTGAAAAGAAATACTTTAGAAAAATAACTGGTTTAGATTATAAAAATCATTGTTCTTTAATGTGTTTGAGGAACATCTAAAAATGGACACAAAAAAGTTCTTTGATCATAGCTTGAAGTAGGTATTGGTTTTTACCTCTTGGAATGGTTGTGTGCCATTGTTGAAATTAATACTTTCAAGAAGCATTGGTAGTTAAAGAATGTGTACTTAAATGCTATGACATACATCACCCGGGTTTAAAAACTTCTAAAGTGCCTTTTTTTAAGAATAAGAGGAAAAAGATTTCAAAAAACTTTAATACAATTAATACTTCTGTAAACTTTTGGAAATAACTAATGGTGCCAGAGATTCCTTTCTCTACTCCACGCATGGGGGCCAGGAGAAAGCATACTGTCAGGCTATTTCCACCCTGTGTGCTGTAGCTTTGCAAAAAAGCTAGCTTAATAAGAGCAAGACCAAATGACTTATGTTTGGTCTGCTTTTGTGAGCTTGGTTGATGATTTTTGTTTTAAACTTTTAGTCTTACTGTTATGACAATAGGTTTTTAATTGCAGGTAGGAAAGAAATCTATTTCGACATTACCAGGTGAGGTCTAGAACCAGATGTTATGTTAAACAGTGCAGAGTCCAGGGGCTGGACCAGGGGCTCACAGAGCCACACTAACCTCTGTGTGTCAGTAAACACAGGTGGCCCTGTCTTGATTCACAGCTTCCTCAGTTTGTATCTCTGTTGGGCAATTCCGGGTGAATAAAGGGTAATCTCAGACATGGTGAGGCATGAGCTTAATTTTTTTTTTTTAAATATTGCTCTTGGCAGTAGGTTTTATTCTCTTAAAAGGAAGACTTCTGTGTGACTTTTATCTCTTGCCAGTTCTACAGTGGAGTTATATTCATACTTGCAACTTGATCCCTAGCTGATTCTGCCAGACCCACATGCAGAGAATTCTGGTAACACATGTATGCAGGCCCAGGGAGCATTCATTAACATGTGTGAGACACTGACTATGCCTCACATAGTCACATAATCACACAGCTTACATACTCACATAGTCAGAGTAGGACCATGAGAAATCAAGCCTGAGTGAGGGCAGTCTAAAGGGCTGAGGCCCAACACTGGAGGCCTCGCCCTGCTTCTCCTGATGGCACAGGGAACTTTGCCTTCTTGCAAGGTACTAGGGAATCTGAGGCATATGATACAGAATAAATGCTACACAGTAAATCTTTACTTAACACTGTCATTAGATTCTTGGAAATCACAACGTTCAGCCAAATGGTATATAAGGTCCTTGAATAACACTGATCCATTGTTGACTGGGAATTGTTTATTTTCATCACTGTTAGAACAAAACTTTATCATTCAAGTACCTGCTATATAAAAATTTGAAATGTATATATCTACACTGAGCTATCTCAAGTCCTGCTTTTAAGTCATATATATATTGTGTAACATTTGCTATATGACTATATCAGGCATAGACTATAATAGACATATACATATACTATAGATCAATCTTGGTTTTTTACTTGTCAATGGAAAATAAGAAGCAATACATTTCTAAATGTGAAATTATAACTTATCAGGACAGAAAATGAAAGTGTTGGCTGGTATAATGAAAACCATAGACAAGTGCTTTTTATGCAGAAACATTAAAATAGAATCATTTGAATGATTGCGTGTTGCTGAGAAGAGGCAAAGGGATGGAAGTTGAGTAAGTGAGTTGGTATAATCTAAGAACCAAACTGAACTGTAGTACTTTTATCTGTCTAGCTTCTTCCAAGGCTCCAGGGTAGCAGAATTCCCAGTTGAGAATTTTGGAATCTTTAATAGATGGCAAATGAACTTGTGAACAAGCTTATAAAAAAAAAGCTTTATAATTACATTTTCCATTTACCAATATAAATAAAACATATACTAAAGAATTCCCATGGTATTTCATAATTTTATGTTAGTAAAAGTAAGTCATGTTAAGCAATGATTTTCTTTCATCATGCTCATTTAGCAGGAACTTTTCTGTCTCTTCCTTCTCTCCCTCCTCCCTGGACCTAGAGAGATATCTACAAATCAGTTTTGCTTTGTTAAAGTGTCCATCAAGTAAATGTTGGTTTCTTTTTTCTTTCTCCTTTTTCTCTCCTCCTCCTCTTCTCTCTATCCCTTTTCCTTATTCTCTCCCTCCACCTCCTCTTCCTTGTTTTATTTTGTTTTGGCTAGATGCATGAACTAGAAAAGCATAGGAGAAGAACCTTTCTATACCATCTTGGTTTTATGTTGATGATATTTCTTTCCCTCTTTTAATTAATGAAGTACCATTATTTTACATTCTTATTAATGTTTTGACAGTATAGGTCTTCTCCTACAGCTGTGCCCAGTGAAGTGTCTCCAGCCTCCCCTTCAAAACTATGTCCTGTATCCACTTGCTCATCCTTACTCAAATGCTAAGTGAAATTAAAATTACTATATAATAAAATAGTGTTTGTTTAATTTCCACATTTCCTTTATAAATTGTTCTAGTTGAGACATTTGGAATCTTTAATAGATGGCAAATGAACTTGTGAACAAGTTTATAAAAAAGCTTTATAATTATATTTTCCATTTATCAAGATAAATAAAACATATACTAAAGAAATCTGTTTCTAATTTAAAGCAACAATTTGTTCTTTTTTTAAAAAAAAAAGATTTACTTATTTATGCATACGGAACTGGGGTACAGGCCAAAGGCTCAGGGGCATTAAGAGAATTCACCAGAGACAGAGTGGGGAGCAGAACAGGCCGACTTAATGAAGTACAGCGGGCAGCGGGCAGGTCAGGAGAGGTCTGCTGTGCCATGTGGGTCACCTCCAGGGTGGGGATTGAACTCTTACTGCAGTGTCTTTAGCTTCTTGGCACTGTGCTTTAACCTACTGCAGCACCAGGAAGGGCCTGTTCTTTTTGAAAAAACATCAAGTATACTTTTAGAATGTTGTCAAAGTATGTTTTGCTTGCTGACTTTTGTATGATTTTATGATAACACTATTAGTCCAGACTGAGAATGAAGTTGATCTTTTAACAAAATATAATTGTTGCTAATTGTTTTGATTTGTTAATTTACAACACATTGACTTTTTCAGTTATAGCAATTTGATTGTAATTGTTTATTCATCTATAATAACTCCCTGGTATTGTTCACATTCAAGAGTTCTGAAGGCACAAATACTTGTTTTCTTTAGGGAAAACATAAACTCTGGCCTGGGTGGGAGGTAAATCACTCTGCATTATTTCTAATGGTCTAATGACTAGTCTAAGCAAAATACCAAATAATTGTAAGGTAGCTAGTCTTGAGGACAATGGGGTACTAGAGATGGAGTTGGGAACATTAATAAAACTTCATACCTAATAATCTTTTGTGCTCTACAAGTGTGCTAAAATGCATATGGTAATTTTGTGCTTATGGTAGCCAGAATGTCCCAGGATATAGAGACATTTGGGAAAAGCATCTCCTTTGTCTCCAAATCATTGAAATAGAAATAGACTGATGTATTCTTTGGTTGCTAATCAGTAATCGCACAGTTTGGGTTGTTGCAAAATCTAATGTGAAATTAAAAAATTGCTTAGGGTTTTTTTATTCAAAATACATTGTAAGCAAAAAACTTCATACATTTTTTGGCGCTTTTTAACTTCACTTTTACTTTCAAAATAGGAAAAAAATTAAAAGTGATTGCATTTACGGGAGAGAGTGAAAATTATTCAGTCTTATTATACTGCCGTTGCACTAATATAACTTCATACAAATTGAGCTCTGAAAATTCTTAGAAGCTGAGGTTTTAAAACATCTTTGTGTTCAAGAACACAGGATAGATTTAAAGTCATTTTTTATTCAGTCACAGACTATTTTCTATCACCTGAATAATGCGGAGCAAATGCACTAGGATGAAAGCAGAGATTTGAAATCTACAAGTTCTTCAAAGCTAGCTGGCCATTAAAAAAACATGTTTTCTTGAAGTAACACTAGATGATGACATGATACAGGTTTCTGAAGCTTATTTAGCGTTATACTTCAGCATCTGTATATATCACATCACGATCTCCACCTAAAGCCTAGTTTCTATCTGAAGCTGTCACTTCTGAAGTGTCGCTGGTTTTGTTTTTTCGTTTTTTTTTTTTTTCTCAATTCTATTTATTTTCCTGCTTTGTGGTCCTTTTCTTAGTGCTCATGATTTTAAAATAATTAAAAATGCTAGCCATAGTCTTTATCTCAATTCAAGTATTCCTACAGAAAAAGACAAGACTTGCAAGCTAACCTTAGGTCAAGAAAAAGACAAGACTTGCAAGCTAACCTTAGATTAGGGGGAGGGAAGAGCACAGGGAATAGGGTGATGGCTCACCGATGACATGGTAGTGGGAGAACTATGGGGACTACATCTGGGTGGAAGAAACCAATTACTGTACAGATAGAAACATTGATGTAAGAACATTAAAAAAAAATAAAGATAGAAAAATTAAATGAAAATAAATAAATTTAAGAATACCTTTCTAAAACCCCCACAACTCCGAAGTTAGAAAATTTGAAGTTGAAAAACTTAGGACATAGCAGGGCCTCCCTAGTGGTTAAAGACACTGTCCTGTCAAGCTGTCACCATCCACTGCAGCATGAGTTCCATTCCTAGCGAAGGAGGTGATCCACATGGTGCAGTACACCTCTCCTGTTGTGTTCACTGCTTCCCTCAGCAGTGTATGTATCTACCTCTTCTGCTCCTCATTCTCACCTCCCACACCTCCAGCCTATACCCCAGTTTGTGTATGCATTAATAAATAAATTTTAAAAAAAACTAAACCAAAACATTTACAACTTAGCAGAGAGAGAGGGCTTCAGCTCTGTGAGGACCACCTCTGTAGTTCTTATATTCTTTACAGTCACACCAAATAGCACCATCCAAAAGGGAAGTCGTATCATTTTGTACTATCTAAGATAGTGGTGATATGCTTATCATAGTAACCCCATCCTCCTCACTGGCAGTATCTCAGATGACTTTTGAGATCACCTCCAGCTTTACAGGATGTCCCTTGCTCAGTGTCTGGGCATCTCTGATTTTAAGAGTCAAAACTGCTTTTATTTCGCACCTTGATTCCAGGACACAGAATAGCTTGAAGGCTAATGATGAAAAATGCTTTGAGTAAATTTCACCTCCTGAGAGGATTCTTAAGCCCGCCTCCTGGCTCCTATGGACTGTAAAATGTTAACAAATGAGTTAGCCTGTAAAAGGGACCCCCTCATCAGAAACAATCAGAAGGCAAGCTAAAGTTTGGGCTTTCTCCTGAAGGTTTGTTTAAAAAGTCTCTCCTCTGCTCTCACTGATTTCTATTTCCTTCTTGTCCAGCTGACCTATTTCCTGAGTCCCCCATTCGTTCATGCAGTAGTCTGGTCACATAGGAACAGGCGGATGCAGGTGCCATTCTCTCACTGGGTGTCATCATCGACAATTTGACGTGCACATCCATCCACAATTGAAAACGCATGTGTCCAATGAATTGTGTCTTTATCATTTGTTGACAGGCAAACTGTGGACAAGAAGTATGAAGGTTGCGTACAACATTCTGCATAAATTAGGTACAAAACAAGAGCCAATGGTGCGGCCTGGTGATAGGGTAAGTGCGATTTAATTATGAAATCTGCAGCACACCCTCTCATGTGGCAGATTTTCAAGTGTAAGCCCAGCATCCACTAATTCTACTAATAAGGCTTTCTTAACATTCACTATAAGCCAGGAGTGATTATATGCATTTGATCCTCACAACAACTCCTTAAGCTGAAAGCGGGGTTCTCATGGTTTATCCATGAAGACACTCCAACTTGGGAAGTCAAGTATCATACAAGGTGAGACACATCATCAGTAAGTGGCATCAAAAGCAATCAGACCCTGTTCTGTCACAACCAACACCAGTAAACACTGTCAATAGCGTCCCTTGTTGGAGGCATCTTGTCATCTCCTTGGACAGGCAGGGCAATTACCTTTAAAACTTTTTCTCCTCTAGTCCATGGAAGCTACTGTCTTGGCAGTAAACTACTGCTGCAATTCTTTTCCCAATGTCAGATTTCTTGATAAAGCAAGTTTTTATTTCATTCTTATTGCAGACTGGTAAGTTATAGAGAAGATCATTAGTATTTCCAGTTTATGTTACACTCAAGTTAATAACATTGTCCAAGATTTGCACCCTGACTTTGATGTGGCACTAGGTGTTGAACCTGATTTTATTGCCTTTTCTCCACATGCTGCTGGGTATGTTAGACACCCAGAGCTGGGTTATCTAGCATGCCCAAAGGATTCAAGAGAAATCTATAAATATATCATTGTAGAACACTATAAACCAATAAGAACACAAGATAGAATTTAAATAAGAGATATTACAATGTACTGGACCCACCAGGGGAATTTTCTAAGGTTTGACCTCTAGCTTTGAAAGCCAGTTATAGGTTGCACACTTCCTGTCCATGAATCGTAATCAGAATGTTGTGCTGCTGACAGAAACACAGATATAAGACCAATGGACTAGAATAGAGAGTCCAGAAGGAAACCTCAGATATATTGTGAAATGATTTTAATAAGAATACTAATACATTATATGGCAAAAGGGCAGTGTATTCAAAAATGGTGCTGAGAAACTGGAATACCCACAAGGAACAGAATAAATTTGAACTCTTATACCATCTACAGATAATTGACTCAAAGTGAATCCATGGCCTAACATAAAAGCTGAAATTGTAAGCTCTTAAAAGGAAAAAAACTCATGACACTGGATTTGACAATGATTTCTCAGATATGACAGAAAAAGCAGAGGCAACAAAAAATTTCATAATTTGGACTTTACTAGAAGTAAAACTTTGCTACCTTTTCACTCTTGATAGTATAAGACAGAAAAGGAGAAAATGTTTGCAAATGCTATCTTATGTGAGATTAGTTTCCAGATTATTATATAGAAACTCTAATTCAACAGCAACCAGAAAAGTTTAAAAATGGGCAAAGGGCTTGAATAAGCATTTTTCTAAAGAACATTTTCAAATGGCTAATAAGCACATGAAAAGATATTTATTACCACGTGATACTACTTCATACCCACTGGGATAGTTATTATGAAAAAAAAAAAAAGAAAATACTAAGTTTGACTAAGTTATAAAAAATTTAGAAACTTTGTGCATTGCAGAGAGCATTCTGAAGTAATGTGCAGACTATGAAAAAGTGTGGTGATTCCTTAAAAATTAATCATAGAATTTATCATTTGATCCAGCAGTTCTGCTTCAGTTTCAGAGAATTGAAAGCAGTGACTTAGCTATTTCTACACCAGTGTTAATAGCAGCAGCATTCACTAAGTAAACAACCCACCTGCCCATCAATGGAGAGATAGGCAGAATCTGGTAGATACATCCAATGAAATATACCAGTTTTAAAAAGGATCAGAAAACCACTTCTGTCCAGCCACTGTGGTGCCAAGGGGCAAGAAGGGGGAAAATAAGGAAATTCTGGCACACAATAAAACATAGCTGAAACTTGAGGACCTTATGCTCAGTGTAATCCTCAGTGATGTACTTTGAGTGGTCACATGTATAAAGACAGAGTGGTGGCTGCCAGGGGCTGAGGACAGGGTGGAGAGTTGGTGTCTAGTGTTGACAGGGTTTCAACTTGGGAGGCGGAGACGCTCATGGATGGCTGGGGGTGAAGGTCGTACAACAGTGTGGAGTTCTGCACTTGAAGACAGTTACGAATGTAAACGTGGTTATGTGTATTTTACCTCAATTTTCTAAAAAGTCAATTATAGTATATTTCTCAATCTCTGATTTGTTTAATAGCCTTAGTAGAGCTGTTTTTAAAAACCATTATTTTATAGTACGGCCTCTAGATTCTTAAAGTGCCTTATAATAGCAATTACAAAAGAAACCACCTATGTTCATTTACAATATGAGTATGAATGTGGGGAGAGGGCCACAGTTTTCATGGAATAAAACATGTAGTCAGAGATTTTGGGCAGGGTCTGGTCTGTATTGTGTGAGGGGTAGAAGTTTCCTAAATTAGTCTTTAAAAAATTATCCATGCACCCAACATCTGGTATGTGAGTATAAATACTTGTTAAATAAGCATTCAAAACTAGAAGTCCATTGATTATTGCCTTCTATGGAAGTAAACAGGATTCTTACCCACTTTGAAAGTAATTTTTGAATAAAACATAATTTACCACAGAATAATAATAGTCGTGTATCTTTGTGGACTTTGAAAAAGGAATTGATGTGCCTGATGCTCACTAGGGTTCTGGAATATTGTAACAGGACAGGAACTGTGGAAAATAGAGACATATCACAGGTGAAGAGAGCAGGAGTATTCATTTTCTATAAATTGTAAAGTTATAATGGTCTCCAAAGAGGTGGTTAGAGACTTATATGAACTATTTGGGTAGGAGAAACATCTTTTTGCTTGAAGCAGACTTGGACTCTGAGAAGGCTTCTAGGGAGAGAAGGTAAAGTGGGGATCAAGTTGTAGGGAATGGTGTGAGGACTGGGGGAAAGGCTTGGAGCACACAGAGAAAGAAGCTGTGCAGTTTGAGCCTTCCTACTACAGGGCAGTGAAGGAACGTCAGGGAGGAAGATGGGGATCAGTTTACCAATGTTCAACCCTATCAAAAGTCACAGGTGGGCTTCCAGCTCGTGATTTGTTGATGTCTTTTCTACTTTGGTGGGTACTTAGGTACAGTGTGATGCCAAGGGAATTCATGGAGAATCAGAGAGTCACATGAAGGGAGCCATGTAAACTTTTACAAACGAAGAATCTGTATTTGTTCAGGACTGTACTGAAATCACTAGGGACTCACCAATATGAATCTATATTTTTGACAGGCATGAAAAGTTAGTGAGAATGACATACAAATGGGATTCTCTTTCTTAAAACAAATTGCAAAAAAAAAAAAAAAACAAAGTCAGCTTTGATTCTAAGAACCATTAGGAAAGGAAAGGTCTTTTCTACCCATTACTTTTGTACTGTTGAGAGCATATAGTATTGTATGATTTCATATTCTGCTTTTATTCACTTTATACCAGGATGTAGTATTTCATCCTATTTTAACACAGCTCTGAAGGTTGTATAATATGGCACTGTCAGCATAAGTCTTTTGATACAGCAGTGGGAATTTTAAATCCTGGATCAAATTGATCTTCCTTTAAACAGAGCGGGGGTGGAAACCAGAGCAAAATCTTAGAAACAGTTTTGGTCCACAGTCTGACTCTGGAAACATCCCCCTTTCCTGTGTGTTCTCTGCTCATGGTGGAGACTCATATTTCCAAATAGGTATTGTAGGAAGAATCCCAAGTCAGTATTAAGTCATCCTTTATGAACGGACACACACATGGGTATTGGGTAAAACTTTGACATCTGCTGCAGCTTTAGTGCTGTTTGGTTGGATTCCTGAAATGTTTTAGTCTGCTTCAGGGACAGAAGCTGTAAAGCAGGGGAGCCTGGAAGCCTGGTCAATGTTTCATTGGCTATTGTTGCTTCACTAGATGCAGTTCTAAAACCAGGTGCAGCCAACCCTCAGCCCACAGGTGGAAGACAAAACACCTGAGTTAGTGCAAACCTCAGATGGTTTTTGAAGCAGTTGGTTGTGGTTCATATGCTTGGACATGATGGGACTTCTCGGAAGCCCTCCTAATGGCAACCTGGCACCCCGCTGCATGCTGTTGGGACAAAATGGAGTGACAAGATCAGCAGTAATTCTCAATTTCTCAAAATTTATTTTTAGTGCAGAATGGTTCTTTCTCTCATCTAGATGATTTTAATCAACTGCAGGATTGCTACAGGGAAAGGATTGTCTTTATACAATTCCATTAATTTTGTTCCTACCAGCTAGCCTGTGTTGCTAAATTGCCAACATAGTCAAATTCAAGGAACAGTCTGCTCTACTCTCAGCTGTCATCTGAATCCTCTTGTGACAACCTGCTTATTAAGATATGAAAATAATGAGGGTCTTATCCAGCTGTTCCTGACCACATTCATAACTTCTAGTTAGAACATTTTAAACAATTGGCTAAATACCTGAGGTAGTGCACTAAAAAAATCCATATGGTAAATCTTGGGATTTGTATGCTTAAATAAACACACCAGCTTCCGTGCATAAGAGTGCCCAGATGCTATGGCACGCGTGTGAGAGCAGCCGAGCCCTGTAGAGCACATTGGAGAGGCCAGAAATATGACTGTCTTCCTGCTGTCTCACACGAGGCTTTCACAGCAGGAGAATGGAAGAATTACTCAAGATGGAGCCCTGGGGTAACATCAAGTTAGCTACGCTGCAGACCTGAAGATGAGATCCCAGTGAATTTAAAAGTTCTCAACTAAAAGAGTCTAGAATAAATTGGGTGAAGTGTTTGTAAAATAATAGGTGATACCATGGAGAAGTTTACCAAATTCATACAAAACATTAAGTGCACCAAGAAAAACTTTTAAATATATCAAAACGACTGCATAAAAGTGAATATTACTAAATATATTAAAAAATTCATTCAGCTTTTAGGGGAAATGTCAAGACATTACAGATAAATGGGGGGAAATGAAAAGGAAATAACACAAAGAATAGTAATTATAAAAATCATATTAATTTTTATGGAATATTGTTCCTCACTCAGATACCTTAAGGACAGTCAGAACACATGCAACCATATGGCCCACTGTGCCAACATAACTGATGATAGTTAAATCAGCCTTACTTGTAGCCTTCACAATGATTCTTTGTTCTTCAGAGCAGCTCAACCAGCTACCAAGGAATGGAGGAATGGGTGGGCCTGCAAAGTCGGTGTTCACTGAGCATCACATCTGGGCCAAAACCGAGACTCTGGAGATGTCTGCACTGCTGGTTGACTCACTGCACCAGTCCTGGTAGCCAGTGTGGGTAGTTAGTGGCCAGGACTGCACCTGCCAGGTGCAGATAGCGCTCAGAGCTCCCTCTCCTGTAGACCTTTACCTCAGACAAGGTTTGACCAGTGTTCTTGTTTACAGTGAGAAAGCAAAGGCCCAGGCGCACATCAGGCAGCCACAGTTTGTGAGACTAGAAATAGGAGAAAGTATCTGTAAGGCCTAGTGAAAAGCATTCTCGTGCACAATTTCATGTGAAAATGCATGCAACGTGGAAGATAACATGACAGTAAGGAGAGTTCTGGTGCACTTTTACAGATGACTGTCAGTGATATATTTGCCTTTTATATAAATTAGGAGAGTGTGTGAGGCTCATCGAAGCACTCCTTACTGGTGCACATTTAAGCCTGGCACTTTTCATTCTGGTGTTGCTCTTCTGTCGAATGTGAGCCCTGCACCTGTGGCGGGCTGTGTCCATTCCATTAGTGGTCTAAAAGCATCATGTCATGTACCTCCTTCCCTCTGTGCAGGTGGCGCTGGTGTTCCCTAACAATGACCCTGCTGCTTCCATGGTGGCCTTCTACGGCTGCCTTCTGGCTGAAGTCGTCCCTGTGCCCATCGAGGTCCCGCTTACAAGAAAGGTAAAGGATGCGTTGCTTCCTGAAAGCCTCTTGAAGGAGGCCAGACTGCTGCCCTGGACATGCTGGCGGAGTCAGGACTCACAAGCCACTCTGTGAAAATGTCTGTCACCCCTGCAGCTTAGGGGTGGAGAGGTGTGGGATGTCTCGTTTCTGAGGGGCTATGCAATTCCCTTCAGTTTTCTTAGTGCAAAGAAAGTACAGCTCAGCCTTGGAGTTTTTATCTGGCCTTCATTCGGCACAGTCTCAGTGACAAACAGTGCAATGACTGTCCTGACTCCAAAGTGTGTGATTGCGTGTGTCCAGCCCCAGTGTTCCCACACGTTCCTCCTGCTGGCTTCATGTATATTCTGCTATTAAATGTCTTGAGTCAGCACTTAAGGAAGTCTCTGCTACTTAAGGAAATGCCTCTTAGTCTGTTCAGGGGTCAAGGGAGAGAGCAAGTCTTGGTAAGCTGTAACCGCACCCAGACATACTTATTGTCACCAGGAGTATCATTTCCTTGTTTATTTCACTTCACACATAAAATCTAGATTTATCTATGTTAAGTCTGTAGCCTGGTGTCCAAACCAGGATCAGTTCTCAGAGAAAATGTTTTGTACAAAGAGGCACATGCCTGTCCTGTCCTGACTGCAGGAACATTATGCTGTTACCTGGACAGGTAGTGCCTGTTCCAAATACTGCTGCTGCAAAACCTAAGTACCCAGTCTGACTGTTTCTCTAACGTGTTTTCAGTGCTTTGAAATAGTGGTGTTAAGATCCTTTGCCTCTTTGATGAAGACGTAAGCCATTCATTTAATGCTCTGGAACCTTTCTAATTGTGTGTGAGTAGGAAGTTCCAGCAGGAATCATTGCTGGGGGAGGGGAGGTGTGCTGGATCCTGTCTGCTGAGGCTTTGCATGGTGGCTGTGGAAGCTGCATGAGCTCTGCTGCCCAAACACAGGCGGGAGAGTATGAGTCCTGGCTGCGAGGCCAGTTCTCCTTCGGGTGCTTCCAGGACTATCTGCCTACCCGCCTGAGGGTCCCAAGCTGGATTCTCCCAGGCCCACTCAGTGCTCTCCTGGCACCTGCATCAGGGAGCAGAAGCCCTACGTGGGACAGGCTGAGGGTCTGGCTGTTTCTCTCCCTGGGAACATTTCCTGATGAGGAGAAAAGACCATGAGATGACTTTGCCGGCAAAGTTCTCAGTGAGCAGAAGCTACCTGTCAGCCTCAGGCTCTGTGACTTCAAAACATCATGCCCTTTGCCTCAAGAATATTTCTTTAAAGAATCTGTTTGGTCAGGTGCAATTCAGAATGGGCAAGATGTATGGAAAAGGATAGATAAGGAGGCCTGTGACTCTTTCTTCTTCTATCAGTTCTGTGTTGCCCCAGACTTGTCTTAAAATAGAGGGTCCCTTGAAGAGCATTTTGCAGATCCTGATATTAGTTAATGTCCCTTGTGTCATGTTTGTTTATTCTCTGTTTCAGTTCCTGGGGTGAGCGAACTCTCTTTAAGAGAACGTAGTAGGGGGAATCCGTGTCCTGTGAAAGTTGAGGCAGGGAGTGGGGAGGTGAGGGAGGGCATCCGCACGTCCCGGCCTATCTGCTGTTGTCACAGCAGGTCAGAAAGGTGCCTAGAGCACACCTTTCCTCCCAGCCCGGGGGTGACTGGGGCAGGTAAGATCAGCTGTCAACTGAGACTGGCTGTGCCTCAACAGGAGTGTGACAGGACAGCAGCACAACCTGAGGACAAGGGGGTGAATTGTACTTAACTCTCAGTGCAGTAAGAATAGAGTCGGTCCAGCCGTTGGGCCACAGGAATGGAGCCCTCTGGAGCCTGGTCTCTCCGGAGCCTGGCCTCAGGGACACTTGCCTTGCTGCTAGGATGCCGTTTCCTTTTCTTCACACAACCTGTTTGCTTTAATAAAGGGTTTCAAATTCCTGTCAACATGAAATCTCTCTGGAAGCAATAGCATCTCTGTCTTGCCGGGTATTTATAATTGTGTGTGAACAGTGAGCTGATCTGCCTCAGGATCACCTTTTGCTGGGAAATCTGAGTAGAGGGACGTTGTGGTCCTGGAGGGTGGTGGGAATAGGGCTACCTGAGGGTGAGCTTGCCCGACTGGAGAGGGAGGGGGCAGAAGGATGTGCCCCACGTGGGATTCATTTGAAATACTCTGGAGTGTGTGTGTGCGTGTCTGCACATATGTGTGCATCAACGGTTTGAATATACAAGTAGCAAAACTGGATAAACACCTACTAGTTATTTGTAGGTCACAAATCTCTAATTTATAACAGACTTTTATAACAGACTTTTCATGACCTCATTTCACATAGAGAGAGAATCCTTTTTTTGAGTGTGACGGATGCTTTCTGACTGTGTCCTGAGGTCAGACTGGGGTGGGCAGAGGTAGGCAGTGTCTCCGCATGGGCCTGTTTGATGCTGAGGAGTCACTTGTCAGCAACACAGGTGAGGGGATTTCTAGGAAGTGACGTAACTGGTGTGCTCGTCACATATATTCCAAAACCCTAAGAAATTACCACTCGAGTACGGTCTAGGTTTTCATAGACTGCAAGAAAGAACCATGAGTGAGGTTTTGTGACCAATAGTCCTTGACAGCCCAGTGTTCAGGGACCCCACACAGCAGTATTTGTGGAGAGTGTGCACTCAGGTGCTGCCCCTGGCTCTGGCTCCAGAGAGTTCAACTTCACGGGTCTGTGTGGGTGCCAGGTCTCATCTCACCTGTGAGGTGAGGTGGCCAGGGGTGAATAGGAATCTTACAAACAATGAGCAGAAACTCCTTCCTACAAGGTCTCTTTTCCTTCACATTTTTGGTATGTGTGTGTGTTTGTTTTGTTTATTTTTTTGATCTGTAATTCTCATTTTAGGGATCAAATCTTAGGCAGACATTAGAAAGAGGGGGTCCAGAGGCAGCAGATTTCAAGGAGGACTAAGGTCAGGGTGCAGCCTCAGCCCTAGAGAGGTCAGGCCAAAGTCACTCCCTGTACAGACTCCAGGACCCTCCAACACAAGCATGTCCCAGTGAAACCTGACTTAGAAACTGTCCCCTCTCATTGTGTGGTGATGGGATATCCAGACACACTTTAAAGTGGCCGATTATAATTCTCTTTGAAGTAATACCAATTAAAGGAAAAATCCACAATTATCCCCAGAAAGCAGCACCTGCATCTGCGCAATGCCGGATCACCTCCCCCACCCAGGCTGTGTGGTGTATGCATATCAGGGTTGCCATCCAAAGTGCCATGGAGAGACGGGTTTCCACTGAATATTTAAGTCTACAACCAGGAAAGTATGAACTAGTCATTTGAAAGACTAGCTTAGAAGTGTCGATGCCATTGATTTTACCCAGAGACAGCAGAAGAAGACAGGCACCAGGTCCATGGACAGGCGTGCCATGATCCTCAGCCTAGGCGCTGCCCCAGAGGAAGGAGGTCATGGTTAATGGTTTCAGTTCTAGGAACCTGGCTTCTTCAGGCTTTTGTCTTATTTTCTGAATCATAGCTAATGTGATGGTAGAATAAAGTGAGTCGAACTGACCTGCTGCTGGTCTTTCCTTCTGCAGGGACCTGAACTACTAAGCAGCAAGGTTCACAGGGTATTTGCACCCCCCACACCTCCAGCCACGGGGAGCCCCATCCTGAAGCATCTTCTCAGACCCTGTTCCTGAGTCCACAATGGTCATGTGGTCAGCACTCACTCCCCCAGAGCTGGTCATGCTGTGGTGGCCTGAGAATATTTCCTCATGAGACATGTCACATGGGGTGAGGGAAGGGGCCAGGTTCCTTCTTCTAGTTGAGGGTGGGTGTTGGGTCCACGCAAGCCAGTGTGATCAAACACACTGTGGCCCTTATCACTAGTAAATTTGAAACTGGGCACCAGGTGTTGTATGAGTACTTTATGCCCTCACATCTGGGTCATCCTCACCAGGCCTGGGACCCTGCTCTGCTCTTTATCCCCCTAGTACAGATGAGGAGACAGGCCAAGAGAGCTGTTTAGGGGCAAGTGACAGCTAGCAGGTAGCAGCCTGGCCTTCAGCCCCGCCTCAGGATGCCAGCCTGTGCCCAAAATTGCTGGTCGTTGAGAGAAATTCTCTGTCCAGAACCCTCAGGCAAGACCATGTTGCAGGAAAGCAGGAACTGTCTCGCTTTGTGACCCTTCGCTCTTTGTTGCCCTCATCTAGGATGCAGGGAGCCAGCAGATCGGGTTCTTACTTGGAAGCTGTGGAGTCACCGTGGCCTTGACTAGTGATGCTTGCCACAAAGGACTGCCAAAAAGCCCAACAGGGGAAATTCCACAGTTCAAAGGTATGCATGGCCACACACTCCTGGGCGGCAGGCTGCTCTGGGAGGAGGTGCTGAATCACACAGTTGCACACACTGACTTGGATAACACCCCTGTGTTACCAACCTGTGGCTGGCGTGGTTCACTCATTCCTGTCAATGCCATATTAGACTCAGTGGCAACATCACAGTCCCCCTCTAGCTGGTGGTGGTGAAGCATAAAAGGGAAGAAGTCACTCTACCTACCTCTTCTAGGTAATGCTTACCAAAAGGAATTTATTTGTATTTATTTCCAAGGTTGGCCAAAGCTGTTGTGGTTTGTCACAGAGTCAAAACATCTCTCCAAACCACCTCGAGATTGGTTCCCACATATTAAAGATGCAAACAATGACACTGCTTACATCGAGGTAAGCCCTGGGTCTGGGTGCGCTCTAGGGCTGAGGGACATCATTTCTGATGGCATCACAAATCTAGGCTCAGGGTCTCGCAGCCTCACAGGACCGACAAATGTGTGACAAATGTGAGCCTGGTGCCTGGCCCCTACCTTGGTCTGTGTGTTGTTTCGTTGCAGTACAAGACCTGCAAGGATGGAAGTGTGCTGGGGGTGACCGTCACTAGAATTGCCCTGCTGACTCACTGCCAGGCCCTCACTCAAGCCTGTGGCTACACAGAAGGTATGGGGCACAGGGGAGCATCCCACACCCAGGGCCCGGGACATTCAGTTGGCAAAGGGGCGGAATATGACCTTTTCCCTCTCAACCGTGTGGCTTTGCACCCATCTTAGCTAAAGCCTGGCCACCTTGTAGGGTTGCGTACACAGGTCAGCCTGCTCTTACCACTATAACTTCACACTAGGGCTTAAATAACAGACAAGTGTGACTCGTTTCCTGAGGCTGGAGGGCCAAGATCAAGGTGAGACCTCTGTTTGTGGCTGGCAGGTGGCGCCTTTTCACTGTCCTCATTCAGCCTTTTCTCTGAGCTGCAAGGACAGCCACATCTCTTTGCCTTCTTACAAGAACACCTGCTCTTTTGGGCTCAGGCATCACACTCATGTCCTCATTTAACCATATTTGTCCATAATTCTTGTAGGCCCAAACTCCAAATACAGCCACACTGCAGGTTAGGGGTTCATCCTGTGAGACTGGGAAGACTTGGACCATCATGCATCATTACTACCATGGACATTCTTTCTAAGCTGCACATTAGAATCTTTTGGGAGCTTTAAAAAAATGTTGTGCTTTAGCTCACCTGTACTAGCTGAATCAGAATCTCTGGCAGCAGGTTCCTGAGCCAGGGGTGGCCACCACAGTGGGGAACAACTGGCTGTCATGCTGACTGGCCATGCCTTGGACAGCAGGGCTTCAAACACACTGTCTCTGGCTTCCACATGACAGTCCATCACGGTTGTCATTTCATCTACTTTAGCACCATCTTCTCGATGTCTCTCTTTTCAGAGACATTTGCTTTATAGCCATGAACTACTCTTACATTCTTTTTTTTTTTTTTTTTTTACTTGCTCTGTGCTTTCTTGAACCAGGGTCTTGACAGTTGCTGCATCAGCCCCCTTCAAGCCCATCCCACATCCTGAGATTCAGGATCTAGACATGATTCTGTCCTTGGCTTAGCTTCTTCCAGGACATTTCCTCTTGCAATTTCCCAAACATTAAGTGTAAAGATTTCATTCACACATTTATTGCTGCCACGGGCTGTCATGCTTACTGAAATGCTCCCCCGCATCAGTTTGTGTGTAAAGCATTGCAGCCACAACTCTCCATCTTCCCATCCACCTGTCTGTCTTCCCATCCAACCATTTGTCCATCCACCTGTCATCCACCTTCCTTCCACCTATCCATCCACAACCAGACAGGTCCAAGTTCTGGTTCATAGCACTTGGGGCTGGACTTCCACTGGGTTTAGAATTTAGGCCTTGAGGATCCTGCACATAATAACATCCCATTCTGGAGCACCAGCGGCTGGGGCCAAGTGGATCATAAATGTTTGGGTCTCTAACCCCAACTGGACAGGGGGTACCTAAACCTCAGCCTGTGAATATTCTAAGATGGACAAAAACTGAGATAAAGCACATATATAGATGGCACTGAACAGGGCAGAGTAAGAACTTATGTTTATACTGGACGTGTTGATGTGAAGGGACAGCAGAGAAGGTGAGAAGGGAGTAGGAGTAAGGACTAAGTGCTGGAAAGTTGAGAGTTGGGCTTCAACATGTCCATCCTGGGGGACTGAGCCTTCCCCCCAACATACCTATAAACAGAGAGCCTAGAGAAAAGGGGGCTTTCCTTATACTGAAGACAAAGAGCTAGACCAAAGGAGGAAACCAAAAAGCTTCCTAGGGACTTCAAATTCTTTGCCTCCCCTTTATAGCCCTGAGGGCGTCTGGTGGTACAGAGGTGATCCTGCTTTCTCCAAATCCTTGGCCTTTCTCCCTCCTGGGAGAACACTTGACAGAATTGAAAAGACTTTAAAAAAAAAAAAAAGGCAGGGAGGAAGAAAACAAGTATATAAAAGAGAAGACATGGCACATTTTCAGTGATGGTGTGAAGGGCTGTTGCTGCTGATTACTTTCCTGTCTGAAAATTCCTTTCGAAACATTATCCAACATTTAAAAATGGGCTTGAGACTGCAGAATTTCTACCAATATAAAGTGAAATGATGGTTTTTCCATTACCAACCCCAGTGTGATGCTGTATTTTCTTTGCCCTTTGTGCCTACTTCATAAATAAAAATCTTTTGACTCTTCATTTGTGCAGCTGAGACAATTGTGAATGTGCTGGATTTCAAGAAAGACGTGGGACTTTGGCATGGAATACTGACGGTAAGCACGGCACAGTGTCAGCATTACAACTGTCAGAATTACAAGTGAGGTCTCCACACACAGCCCCCTGGGTGAGCCCTTTCCTTCCCACCGATAAGGAAAAGTCATCCTTGTTGAAGTGACGTCGTTTCTGGAAGCTCAGTAAACCCTAAGCCCGAAGCTTTAGCAGCTACTCTCTGAGCCCTGGAGCTGAATGTTGACTTGTAGCTATCTGGAGCCGTCTTTTCCAGGCTCAGAGGAAATGCAGTGTCTGTTCCTCACTTCTGGCCTTTAAGGCTTCACAGTGTCATCAACAGCTGATGTTTGGGTCACTTACCCCATACATATGGTTTGACTAACATGGTGTTATTTTTCCTTTCTGTGAGACAGTGTTTCTTAATATTTAGGGAATCTGCTGTTGCAATACGCTTCAGGGGGAACCTTTGACAGATTCCTCTTAATAAAATCCAGCATGCGTTATAGAGGAATGCATGTGAGGACAGATTAAAGCTGGAGGCATTTCTAATAGAAAACCAAACTGATTGTTTAAGTTATATTTAGCATTTAAAAAATGTGTAGACTAACTACTTAGAATCTTGCCCTGTCTGTTTCATATGTGACCATTTTCACTAGCCTATCTTTTTTATAGTTCTTTACACTGAAACTTTCTATCTTTTTCAAAGTAAATTCTAGCAGTTTTTACCTGATTGAAGGAACATAAATACGGAAGATAGCATTTGTTGTTTTTTGATAAGCCAGCCAAAGTTTGTTTCAACAAGAGCAGGCAGGCATCATGTAGACCAAACGTTGGGCTCTGGGCTGGCTTTTGTCTGTGGTCATTTTGGTTCATTTCTGCCATCTGGACTCGAATGGATGGTGAGATATAGTGTGTGCTGGTGTGGTGGGAGGTCCTGGGACTGACGACCAGGTTGCAGCCAAGCCCTGTGCCACCACCTGACTGCAGCAAGCCCCCTGCACCCAGACCCAGGGCACCTGGGTGTCTAAATCACTCTGCACCCCATTGCTCCTCTGTCCAGTGGGATTAATGATCGTATGTGAGAGTCATGTAACCCAGTGTTTAGTGAGCACCCGGCCCTTCTACCTGCTGGGTAGTGTCATCCTCAGAGCCCCTCTGGAAGTCCCACTTCCTGTCATCGACTTCATTGCCATACTACCTGTCTGCTCCCCATTGCTCTGAATTATGCCCCAGTTTTTAAATCTCTTTTTTGCTGCCTCCTTGTAGAGAGAAGTGGTTCCCTGCTAGAGGACCAGTGCTCTTCTCCAGCATCTTCTATGGGGTGCAGGTGTTCTTACCCCAAAATGGCAGAGGTAGCAAGCCCCACGGCAGGGGGCATGTGCTGCAGTTACTCCTCATGGGAAGGCCACCTTGTGTTCCCTTTAGCTTCTAAGTTGGACCAGCGCTCTCACTCTACAAGTGTCTGTACCTCTCCCTCCTCCTGCTCCTGAGGCTGGACAGGGAGGGCTTGTGCTTGTTCCCACTTTGTAGTCCCTTAACCTTACCAGCTGTGCCTGATACCCAGACAGGCGTGGAAGTTCCCTGTGGGTGTGGAGGGATCTATTTTAAAGCTTTGTTTTGGCCATTCATTTTGCACTGGATTACCTACATTCAGGCCAGCTGGGACACTGAGAGTGCTCGAGACACACTTTGTGCTACCCCTTGACATCTCAGTGCAACATTTACTTAACCACGTTAATCTGTGATATAAAAGTGAACACAATATACTAGAGAAAATTAAGCTTCAAGACTATGAGAGGCCATTAAAGAGATGATGGTCATTCTACAGGAGATTTTATAAAAACTTGGACTGGACGTGAGTGTTATAATTGTGTCTGAAAAGCAGGAGCCAAGAGGATTAGATAACTTTGGGGAGTGACATACCCTGTGACCTCTTCAAGGGCTATTCCTGAGTACCATGTCAGCCACCCACTTGTTCTTTGGGCCCTGGTGGGGGTGAACCCCTCCTGTTATGTCCCCATACACAGCCAGTGGACCCCCTCTCTGTCTCATTGGCCCTTACTCATCTGTGTGTCCTTGATTTCAGAGCGTCATGAACATGATGCATGTGATCAGCATCCCATACTCGCTGATGAAGGTGAACCCTCTGTCCTGGATTCAGAAGGTCTGCCAGTATAAAGGTGTGTCTTCACAGTGGCCTTGGGTGTCTGTCCTCACCACAGCTCCCTTTCTTGTTAACATCACTGTGCTGACTTTCCTTCTCCTTCTCTTTTAGCGAAGGTGGCGTGTGTAAAATCCAGGGACATGCACTGGGCATTAGTGGCACATAGGGACCAGAGAGACATCAATCTCTCCTCTCTCCGGATGCTGATTGTGGCTGATGGCGCAAACCCCTGTAAGTGATGGTGGGCTGGTCACATGGAAGGCAGCAGGCAGGAGAGGCCCTCATTTTCAGTTTCCTTCCTTGCACTTGTTCTTTTTCTAGCCTTTACCTCAGTTAAGAAGTCTAAAAATAACCAAGCAGTTTCACTCACTGTCGCCCCGTAACAGCAGAGCAGGGTGTGCAAGCGTGGTCTGGGGTTGAGCCTAGTTCCTGTAGGCAACTAACATCCTTTGTTAAATCCTCCTCTTACTTTAGGTGTTAAATGGTGCATAAGTCATCCAGTTTTAAGTGAAGTCATCTCTATGTCAGTTCCTTGGGATATATTAAGTGTTCAATAACTACTATTACTCTGTCATCTACAGTGGACTTATTGATCAGGGAATGTGTCACTTTTAATGCAGCTTCACTGTCAAATACTGTAGCAAAAATAACCAAGGTAAAGTACTTAGTAGCTCACAGAATATTGTTAATATACCTTGAGAAAATTTTTCAGTCAGTTGAAATAAAACCAAACTAGCTTATTTTTATGAGAAAAGTAAAGCAGAGGTGAAAGAATGTGAGTTTCTGATCACTTCTAAAAGCCATATGACATAGATTTTGTAAATTAAAGCATCCTGTCCTTTCTTAGAAAATAATAAAAGTGGACTTGCTGGCCTTGCTATTATCAAATCTCATCACATAAATTGGAGGGAAAATGGAAACAGATAACTATTAGTTTGACAACTGAGTATCTCCCCTTAGGAAGTCATTCCATTAAAAAGGTGAACTATTTAATACACAATTGGATTATCCATGGCTTTATAGACCAGTATGTCTTCCATAAAGAAAGGTAACCCTGTATTCGGAAATAGTTTAGCTGATAGGTGCTTGGTAATTATACCCATTCTCTTCATTCAAGTGAATGTAGAGGAACGTTTTCTTCACTTAGTTTAAATTTACCCAATTCTTGGAACATGAATACTGAAAATGGATGAACAAGTCAGAGATGTTATTATAGCGAAGTTCACCAGTCAGAGAAACAGTTGCATTTTTTTTTAACCTACTGAATTGTGTAAGTTGAGAATAGTATCACGTTTTCATTATAACAGCAATGATCAATTGTGTTAAATAATGCAGTGTTCTTTCTGTGCTGCTTGACTCCATTTGTGCCTGAACCCTAAGTTCAAAGTATTTTATATCATGGTATATTTATAATCATATTTCTTTCACTGTCTGATTATCATCCCCTCTTTCACTCCAGGGTCTATTTCTTCCTGCGACGCATTTCTCAATGTCTTCCAGAGTAAGGGCCTGCGGCCAGAGGTCATCTGTCCTTGTGCCAGCTCCCCCGAGGCACTCACTGTGGCCATCCGGAGGTATGGGCTGCAGTCTTTCGGTGGGCAGTCTGGGATTGGTGGACTGCAAAGGCCCCTGGAGACCTGAAATCACATTTAATGTTCAATGTGAGAGTCAAGAAGGGCCAGGCTCTCTAGATGGTTCTTCCCTGTATGTGCTAGAAAGAACTCTTTCTAGTTTAGATTCTTCTAGTCTAGTGTCATTAGTTAGAAAGGCATTGGTCTCCAGAGTTTCATGTAATCCTAAGTCAGTGGAAACCTGTCTAGAGGAACTGAGTGAGGAAACACCTTTTCCTTGCAGTTTCTCACATTTCCATTTGACATACAGGCTCCAGTTTCCTGTGTGGTAGAGTAGAGTAAATGTCAGTGAAAAGGAAATTTTGTAGTCACAACTCTGCCCTTGGATTTGCAATTTTTATGTCATCTTCATTTTCGGCCACTGCAATACCAGGATACTGAGCATTAAAAATACTGGTTTTCTGAGCCATTTAAACATTTGCTGGCATATCAGGGGCTCCAGTCTGGGGTGAGCAGTATAGGCTCTGGCTCCCTGGTGCTCACAGAGACTCTGTGTGGTTTATGTGTGTGGCCATACATAACTGAGCCTCCCGCCTACATCAGGGAAGTGTGTTGGGAACAGGGTCCTGGAATCCCATGCAGGATGAGGGGTGTGAAAAGCCGATTTGATTGTTATCAGCTCTCAGTTATTCATATGAATGTGAGAAAGGAGTGTTTATAGATTATAGACATTTGCAGCTTATGAGTTTTTTTTTTTTTTTTTTTTGCAACTTTAGGGGTCTGTCTCTGGTTAGGTTGTATTTTTGTCACAAGTGTGCTTGCTCTGTCTCAAGAATGGACAACAGAGCTTTCCATGCCTACAGCGTGTGTTTCCTGCTCCTTATTACTGGGAGCTCTGACTTCCCAAAAATTATCCACCGGAGGGCGGTCCCTGACATGGATCACATGCTTTTCGGTGTTTTGGGTTAAAGTAATTAATCAGGCAATTAGCCTGATACCTGACCAGTAGGTTGAGAAATTGAAAAATTCTATCAGGCAGCTTTTACTTTTGATTGAACCAGAAACAGGAAGTCTATAACGTAACCAAATCAGTGCCCTCATTTGTTAGAGCATGGCATGGTCATGCCCCTGTGGGGTTCACCAGGAATAGGCTTCTGAATTTGGGGTGCAGAACACAGCAAGACTTGGGTACAGATAACTACCACACTCTCTCCAGAGCTCAATATTGAAGTATCTAATTTGAACCTAAGAAAGGATGCCAAGGAGACACCCAGAAAGCTTGATGGGGCCCCTGCTTGGAGACTCTCCTACCTAGGCCTTTAAAGTTCTCCACCAGAAGGTGAGGGGAGTACACTTAGTTCCCTTCCACTTACAAATTTCTGAGATTTTCCAGTTCTGTGAAACAGCACCACTACCACAGAAAATTCACAAAATGAATAAATCACACATGTAGAAATTCAGAGTTGTCACCACATAATTTGTTGGTTGCTTTTCTTAAAATGTACTCTCTGTGCCATTAGTCTATGTATGGATTATGGAGGACTTGATTAACAGAGGGAGAAGGCATAAACCAAGGATTTGTAATCATTTCTCTTAAAATGTTTATTGTCTTTAAAAAATTTTTCTTTAAAAAGATTAGAAATGTAGTACCAAAAATAAGCAAATTGAGCAGCTACTGCTTATTCCGTGCATCTGGTGTGGCTTGTGAAGTACCTCCCTGTGGTCAGTGGACCTCAAGAGAAAGCCAGCAGGGGAGAGCACTGAGTGAGCACCTCTGGGCACACTCCAGCACTCTAGCAGTGGCCGGGCTGGCTCAGGCCTCTGCACTCATCGGTGCACTCGTCAGTCATCTGCAGCTTCCAACCCCTTTCCCTGTGAGTGTGGAACAGTGTACTGTGATCCAAGCCACTCTCAGAAGGTGGAGTTGTGCTTATGCTTCTTACAGAGAAATATTTGACATGGTCACCGGCACTGCGTTTGCACTGGGTTGGCGGCTTTGCTGACCCCAGTGCACATCTGCTTACCCTCCAGCTTCTCTCGCCCTGACCACAAACACCTCTGCCACTGTCAGCCTCAAAGCTCTCATTGGTTGTTTCACAAATAATCTATAAAAAAAAACACAGAACTGGTCAGGATGGCCAAACGAGCTAAGAAAAAACATAGAACCAGGATAGATATAATGGGTATAAATAACCAGAGAGCCCTTGCATCCTCCCCCACAACTTGCAGCACATTGCATGGATGTTGCTAGTTGTCAGTGTGGCTATGGTTGGGTGGTGGGTTTTCATCACAGGTCGTAGGTTATAAGTGTGTCACCAGGAAGACTCAAAGTCCATCCCTAAGTCTACCCTATATCTTCATTGCCTTGTGTTAATGAGGGTTGCAGACCATGCAGAGAACAAAGCATTTGATGATCTCACCTTCCCTTGAGATTTAACTATCATTAACAATCAGTGGGCAACAAGTGGGAAGGTTTGTGACTGGGAGAATCAAAAGTGTGGTTTCTAACCCCAGGTCGGTTTCATTAGGAATATTTCATACTCTTTAATAGTAGCATTTCTCAGAAGTGTGAACCTGTATTGCTAAGTAACATACACAGTTGTAAGCCAACATTACCTTAAAAAAAAAAAAAAAAGCCACTTTAAATAAATAGCACATCATACCCATGAAATTTTAAGAATTTGCACTAGCCATTTGATGACCCAGGCCAAGAGTGTTAAAATGAGATGTAGGTCACTCTGAGCTATGGACCACAGGTACAACTCCGTTTATTCTCATGTGGCCACCCAGGTTTACCTCTGGCGACACCAGCAACAATGTTCCAGAACCACCACCACCTGAGAGCAGGCCTGCTGGGCCCAGTTCGCGGGCTGGGCATCTTCTGCTCTGGCCTTGCCTTGCCAAAAATATGCAGGTCTAAAATGTTACTGCTTAAAGAAACAACAGCCAAAGCAAAGAGACATCCACTGAGTGGGAGAATATGTTTGCACTGTGTACAACTGACAAAGGATTGATTACAAAGATATACAAAGAGCTCACCCAATTCAACAAAAACAAAGCAAACAGTAAAGTCAAAAAATGGCCAGAGGAGCAAAAAAGACACTGTCTAAAGAAGAAATACAGACGGCCAACAGATATATGAAAAAATGTTCAATGTCACTTATAATCAGGGAAATGTTAATCAAAACCACAATGAGATACCACCTCACAGCAGTGAGAATGGCACACATTAAAAAAAAAAAAACTGGCAATAACAAATGTGGGGGGAAAAGGAACACTTTTACACTGCTGGTAGGAAACCAGAATGGTCCAACCTATAGAGAAATCTGTATAGACGACCCTGAAACTACTAGAACTGGAGATACCATATGCTTTAGCAATTTCACTCCTAGAAATCTACCCAAAAAGACACAAAAACATTAATTTGAAAGGAAACCTGTAGTTTTCTATTTATTGCATCACTATTTACAATAGCTAAGGTATGGAAACAACCTAAATGCCCAAAAGCAGATAGCTGGATAAAAAAGATGTGGTATATATGCACAGAACATTAATTGGCAGTCAAGATAAACTCAAGCCGTGTGCAGCAGCATAGATGGAGCTGGATAGGATTATGCTCGGTGAAATAAATCAGAAGGAAAAGGAAAAATATTGGATTGTTTTACTTATAAGAGGAATATAGGGGAACCAAACAAAAACAAAGCTAGTAGGCAAAAGACAGGTCAGAGGGAGACGTTCGGCAGGTAAGGAGAGGAACCAGAACAGGTGAGGGAGGACCACAAAAGAACTATGGCGACATTTCATGGGTGACTTAGTGGTGGAAATTCTATGGGGATTACATGTATTTTTTTTTAAAATACATGTATAAATTTTAAAAAGGGAATAAATAAAGAAACGTTCCTGCTTGTTTTGCCTTGAGGCTCCCAGGTTATTTTAGAACAAAGAGCACAAGCTCTGCAGATATTTATCTGCCCATCACCATTCAAAAGAGATGTTGTGTAGCATGCTCTGAGGTCTGCAAGCCTGTCCCTGGGCATCTCATGGCTACCCTTGGTGATAGTCACTGACACATGCTCCTTCCTTTTTTCTCCTGCGAAAACAAGATGGGGTCATAAAACATATGGGGGTAGAGGGGCAAGTTTTAATTCTTTCTCTTTTTTAAAGATTTATTTATGCATACAGAACTGGGGTACAGGCCAGAGATGCAAGGGTGAGAGGATTCACCAGAGACAAAGTGGGAAGCAGAACAGGCAGATGCAATGAAATCCACTGCTTAGAGGAGCAGCGGGCAGGTCAGGAGAGGTCTGCTGTGCCATGTGGGTCACCCCCCACCCTGGAATCAAACTCCTGTTCAGTGGCTGCTGATAGTGGCTCATAGTGCTGTGCTTTTAACCCATTGTACCACCAGGGAGGGCCTGGCAAATTTTAATTCTCTTCATGCTTTATAATTGACATTATGGTTTTAGCCAAATGAAGACAATTTTGGAAAATATCTCTGTAATAGATTCAAAAGAATAGTTTTTCTTTAATTCTTTCATTCTGGGGTGTTTTTCTTGGAGTATTACTGCAGGTGGAGCATAATAGAGCAAGTTCTGCCTCTCCAAGGTTTCCAGTCCTGATGGCAGTTCCTCATGCTTTGGTTTCAATTATCCCAGCCACAAGGTCTGGTGAAATGGCAGAGAGGGTGACCAGCATTTGTGTGTGGTGACGTAAGGCTTACTGAAAGCCTGCTGTTACCTGTCCCACCTGTAGTAGCAAGCCTGCCTAAGGATAAAAGCCCAGACCTCTCTGGACCAGTACTGAGGGCATGGGTCAGGAATCAGCAATGACTGATGAGAAGAACTTATGCTGGATGGGCCCAAGGAGGCTTTGGAACTGTGAGGCTGGGAGGAAACCGGCACTCCAGTAAATGGACGTCAGTATTTTTTCGTAAATCTTGCAGTAGCTTCAGTTTAAGTTGATATAAAAGGCATTCTGTTTTGCACTATGTATAGTGCATAGAC